TAACTTCAGATTTTCGATCATAAACCACTCTGGAGATTTTCTTACGCGTTGCGCCAATGTCCCCTCTACAACACCTATATAGTCGTTGCCCGTCACAATCTCTTGAAATTGGTCAACCCAATTTATCTCATTTTGTCCATTTCATAATTTCAGCTTTTTAACCATAACTTCAGATTTTCGAACATAAACCACTCTGGAGCTTTTCTTTAACGATGTGCCAATGTCTCCTCTACAACAGATATATAGTAGTTGTCTGTCACAACCTCTTTAAAATGGTCCAAACTTTACTGTTAGTGCCCTACTCCCCTAATCTCATTTTCTCAATTTCACAATTTCAGTTTTTGAACCGTAACTACAGATTTTCGAACATAAACCGCTCTGGAGATTTTATTAAACGATGAGCCATTGTCTCCTCTACAACACCTTTATAGTCGTTGCCCGTCACAATCTCTTGAAATTGGTCCAAAATTAACTTAAATTGGCCTACCCCCTTTATCTCATTTTGTCAATTTCACAATTTCAGTTTTTTAAATGTAACTTCAGATTTTCGAACATAAAACACACTGGAGATTTTCTTAAACGATGCGCCAATGTCTCCTCTACAACAGCTATATAGTAGTTGTCCGTCACAATCTCTTTAAATTGGTACAAACTTTACTTTTAGTGCCCTACCCCCCTAATCTTATTTTGTCAATTTTACATTTTCAGTTTTTTAACCGTAACTTCAGATTTTCGAACATAAACCACTCTGGAGATTTTCTTAAACGATGTGCAATTGTCTTCTCTACAACACCTATATAGTGGTTGCCCGTCACAATCTCTTGAAATTGGTCCAAAATTAACTTTAATTGGCCTACCCCCCTAATCTCATTTTGTCAATTTCACAATTTCAGTTTTTTAACCGTAACTTCAGATTTTCGAACATAAACCACTCTGGAGATTTTCCTAAACGATGCGCCAATGTCTCCTCTACAACACCTATATAGTCGTTGCCCGTCACAATCTCTTTAAAATGGTCCAAATTTTTCTTTTAGTGCCCTACCTCCCTAATCTCATTTTGTCAATTTCATAAAATTTTCAGTTTTTTAACCGTAGCTTCAGATTTTCGAACATAAACCACTCTGGAGATTTTCTTAAACAATGCGCCAATGTCTCCTCTACAACACCTATATAGTCGTTGCCCGTCACAATCTCTTGAAATTGGTATAAAATTAACTTAAATTGGCCTACACCCCTAATCTCATTTTGTCAATTTCACAATTTCAGTTTTTTAACCGTAACTTCAGATTTTCGAACATAAACCACTCTGGAGATTTTCTTAAACGATGCGCCATTGTCTCCTCTACAACACCTATATAGTCGTTGCCCGTCACAATCTCTTTAAAATGGTCTTAATTTTTCTTTTAGTGCCCTACCCCCCTAATATAAATTTCACAATAAAATTTTCAGTTCTTGAACCGTAACTTCAGATTTTCGAACATAAACAACTCTGGAAATTTTCTTAATCGATGCGCCAATGTCTCCTCTACAACACCTATATAGTCGTTGCCCGTCACAATCTCTTTAAAATGGTCCAACTTTTTCTTTTAGTTCCCTACCCCCCTAATCTCATTTTCTCAATTTCACAATAAAATTTTCAGTTTTTTAACCGTAACTTCAGATTTTCGAACATAAAACACTCTTGAGATTTTTCTAAACAATGTGCCAATGTCTCCTCTACAACAGCTATATAGTAGTTGTCCGTCACAATCTCTTTAAAATGGTCCAAACTTTACTTTTAGTGCCCTACCCCCCTAATCTCATTTTTTTAATTTCACAATTTCAGTTTTTTAACCGTAACTTCAGATTTTCGAACATAAACCACTCTGGAGATTTTTTTACACAATGCTCCAATGTCCCCTCTACAACACCTATATAGTCGTTGCCCGTCACAATCTCTTAAAATTGGTCCAAAATTAACTTAAGTTGGCCTACTCCCTTATCTCATTTTGTCAATTTCACAATTCAGTTTTTTAACCGTAAATTCAGATTTTCGAACATAAACCACTCTGAAGATTTTCCTAAACGATGCGCAAATGTCTCCTCTACAACAGCTATATAGTAGTTTTCCGTCACAATCTCTTGAAAATGGTCAAAACTTTACTTTTAGTGCCCTACCCCCCTAATCTCATTTTCTCAATTTCAGTTTTTTAACCGTAACTTCAGATTTTCGAACATAAACCACTCTGGAGATTTTCTTACACGATGCGCCAATGTCCCCTCTACAACACCTATATAGTCGTTGCCCGTCACAATCTCTTGAAATTGGTCCAAAATTAACTTAAATTGGCCTACCCCCTAATCTCATTTTGTCAATTTCACAATTTCAGTTTTTTAACCGTAACTTCAGAATTTCGAAAATAAACCACTCTGGAAATTTTATTAAACGATGCGCCATTGTCTCCTCTACAACAGCTATATAGTAGTTGCCCGCCACAATCTCTTGAAATTGGTCCAAAATTAACTGAAATTGGTCAACCCCCTCAATCTCATTTTGTCAATTTCACAATTTCAGCTTTTTAACCGTAACTTCAGATTTTCGAACATAAACCACTCTGGAGATTTTCTTACACAATGCGCAATTGTCTCCTCTACAACACCTATATAGTCGTTCCCCGTCACAATCTCTTGAAATTGGTTCAAAATTAACTTAAATTGGCCTACCCCCCTAATCTCATTTTGTCAATTTCACAATTTCAGTTTTTTAACTGTAACTTCAGATTCTCGAACATAAACGACTCTGGAGATTTTCTTAAACGATGCGCCAATGTCTCCTCTACAACACCTTTATAGTCGTTGCCCGTCACAATCTCTTTGAAATGGTTCAAATTTTTCTGTTAGTGCCCTACCCCCCTAATCTCATTTTGTCAATTTCACAATAAAATTTTCAGTTTTTTAACCATAACTTCAGATTTTCGAACATAAACCACTCTGAAGATTTTCTTAACCGATGCGCCATTGTCTTCTCTACAACACCTTTATAGTCGTTGCCCGTAACAATCTCTTGAAATTGGTCCAAAATTAACTTTAATTGGCCTACCCCCCTAATATCATTTTGTCAGTTTCACAATTTCAGTTTTTTAACCGTAACTTCAGATTTTCGAACATAAACCACTCTGATGATTTTCTTAAACGATGTGCCAATGTCTCCTCTAAAACACCTATATAGTCGTTGCCCGTCACAATCTCTTTAAAATGGTCAAAATTTTTCTTTTAGTGCCCTACCCCCTAAACTCATTTTGTCAATTTCACAATAAAATTTTCAGTTTTTTAACAGTAACTTCAGATTTTCGATCATAAACCACTCTGGAGATTTTCTTAAACAATGCGCCAATGTCTCCTCTACAACACCTATATAGTCGTTGCCCGTCACAATCTCTTGAAATTGGTCCAAAATTAACTTAAATTGGCCTATCCCCCTAATCTCATTTTGTCAATTTCAGTTTTTTAACCGTAACTTCAGATTTTCGAACATAAACCACTCTGGAGATTTTCTTAAACGAGGCGCCAATGTCTCTTCTACAACACCTATATAGTTGTTGCCCGTCACAATCTCTTTAAAATGGTCCAAATTTTTCTTTTAGTGCCCTACCCCCCTAATCTCATTTTGTCAATTTCACAATAAAATTTTCAGTTTTTTAACCGTAACTTCAGATTTTCGAACATAAACCACTCTGGAGATTTTCTTTAACGATACGCCATTGTCTCCTCTACAACACCTATATAGTCGTTGCCCGTCACAATCTCTTGAAATTGGTCCAAAATTAACTGAAATTGGCCTACCCCCTTAATCTCATTTTGTCAATTTCACAATTTCAGTTTTTTAACCGTAACTTCAGATTTTCGAACATAAACCACTCTGGAGATTTTCTTACACGATGCGCCAATGTCCCCTCTACAACACCTATATAGTCTTTGCCCGTTACAATCTCTTCAAATTGGTCCAAAATTTTATTTTAGTGCCCTACCTAATCTCATTTTGTCAATTTCACAATTTCAGTTTTTTAACCGTAAATTCAGATTTTCGAACATAAACCACTCTGGAGATTTTCCTAAACGTTGCGCCAATGTCTCCTCTATATCACCTATAGGCAGTCGTTGCCCGTCACAATCTCTATAAATAGGTCAACAATCAACTTACGGTATCCCCCCTTTTCGTTTTTAATTACCATTTTTTCAACCATTCTTCAGATTTTTTAACATAAACCATCCTGGAGTTTGTCTTAATAGATACGCTTATGTCTCAGCTGCATCACCCATGCAGTCGTGTACCGTGACAATCTCTATAAATGGGTCAAAAATCAACTTAATGTATGCCCCCTCCTCCCTTTTCGTTTTTACAATTTCAGTTTTTTAAACTTAACTTCAGATTTTTAAACATAAACCATTCTGGAGTTTGTCTTAGTAGATACGATAATGTCTCCTCTATGTTACCTTTACAGTCGTTGCCTGTCACAATCTCTATAAATTGGTCAAAATCTTTATGGTATCCCTTTTGCCAAGTTTTAATTTTTTTTATTCGTTTTTGTTTAATATTTTGAATATTCTCATAATTGTCCGCTAGGTCTCCGTAATTGTTCGCTAGCTCGAAAAAAAACGCGATTGTCTTATGTGAAATTGTGGTTTTTAGTTATACATCCTAATTGTTCGCTGGCTAATTGTTCGCTACAATTGTTCGCTAGCTTGAGTCAAGTCTGATGGGCCGCTGTTTGAGATCGTCAGACAATTTTATCTAAATTTTAATGATAAACTTTCTAGAAAGTCAGCTTGAGTTATTTACGTCGTTGATCTTATTTTTGTTAGAAACTTGTGCATATTGTCATCGTTGTTTTGTATAAATTTTTATATTCTGTAAAAGCTCACTACTATGCCGAATTTTAATAAGTGTTCTGTCAAAAATTGATGACGTTTGATTTTATTTGATATGTTTTGGTTATTAGTAATACCCGTTTTTACCTGACTGGTCACGAATGGGCATGCGCGGAATAGGTAAACCGGAAATCAAGACATTTGTAATCAAAGAATGAAAATAATGTAAAACTTCAGAACTATTTAGGAATTTCACGGAGAGAAATGGAGATTATAGTACTTTTCATCAGTTTCGTTACATGTGGTAATGCATTAATTAAGATATAGTATTTTAAAACAATTTACAGTTCAACTGTCAGATTAAAATGGTGTTGGAGAAATGCGGAAATGAAATGAATCATGTTTGTAAACACACATCAGAATATTATATTGTAATGGTCAATGATTGTGAATGCTTCTTTGATAATTTTATTTGGGTGTTAATTAATCCCTTTTGGGATTCTGTGTCTTGAAGATATATTTTCAAATATTATACGGATTTTGAAAAGCAAAGTGTTATCAATTTTTACCGGTACCTCGAATCACCGAATAACACCGTTATTAGCCAAATAACACTTGTAAACACCGAATAACACTTGAAATTTTAATATTAGCACATATTGGTGACATTTAAACATTGATAATTAAATAATATTGTATTATAAGTGTATTTTTTAACTTAAAAATGATTTATAGAAAGCAGGTAAGTTCATAAAGATCGCATTAAATATTAGTGTGTACATCCAACATGGCGACCAAGGAAAACACAATGGGAAGAATAAAAGAATGATTGCATATGCATACAAAGGGAAAAGCTATAAAAATAAAATATTAAATAATGTACTGTATATACAGAGTATTGTCCAATAATTGTTTTTCAGTAAGGTTTCGAAAAGTTAACAAGTACATCAAAGCCATGCAATTACTCCAATCACCAATTAGTTTTCTTAACGATTTACTCAATATTGAATGAAACGTAATTAAGAATTTTCACCTATTTAATTTAAATTTAATCAAAAAATTAATTCTACTTGATTGTTTTATAATAAAAACAAAGCAGCTGAATGGATGATTCGTATGTGTGTATTTTCTCAAAAAGAAATTAAAGTTCCCAATTATCAAAATATTTATTACCTTACAATTCTATCATATCATGCATATTGTTAATTAGATTGTTTACTGACACGTGCCCATTACATAATTAATCATTAAATGATAATGAAATTATATTACGGTATGGATACTCTGCATTAAACAGGCTTGTGACTGTCTTGGTATACCAAGGCTGCATTACCAAAACCAATAATAATAATTAAGAAAAAAGAACACAAATAAATATTTACAACTATATACAATATATGTACTTCCTAACTATATCTTCTGTAAAAGTGTAATAAGCTTTATTGTTTCACAAAGAATTTTTGATTATTTAAAATAATAAAATTTTTCTGCAGAAAATAAAAATAAAAAAAAATTATTTAAACTTATTTGATATGAGTTTTTTTCTGTTTAATAAAATACTTTTTTTTTGCAAAATTCAAAAGACATTCGATGTTAAAAAATTGACCGACTTCCTCAAAGCTACTAAGAAGGCACGGTAGCCTTCTTCAGTGAAATGTATCCCGTCGCGAGCTTCGTATTCCGTCCGATAAACATTAGTTGGCTTGAAATAATGTACAAAATGATTTTCAAGAGCAATGCTTTTCATCATTTTGTTCACTATCTCTCGGCGAACTGTATGCTCATCGGGAGTGCAATACCAAGGCCCAGACCGCTTCATAACAGACATGAATACTACTGATACTCCTCTCGAAAGACAAGCATAAATGAAAGTATTCATGTTTGTTTTGAAGGCAGCCTTTTCAAAAGAATATCTGTCACAATCATTGCTACCTATTTGGCAAATAATACCCATTTCCTTATATTGCGTTACTTTCTATACATCAGAAATTTATATAGAAATATCTTACTAAAAAGCACTAATTATACCACACGTAGTAAGCCCAGAGAAGTGAAACCTATTACAAAATCAGAGAGCCGACTTCTACAAACATACGGTCAGGTCATGCCCGATCCCATTAATCCTGGCTCAGTCCCAAGCGTAAGAGATGAAGTAGCAACTGGCATTCTCCGTAGGTACCATCCAGTTGTTTTAGAAGAGTTGTATCCCGCCAAGCAAGTGGGCCGTTTATTCCGAACCATTTTGTGCCACTTTTAAATAAACAACCTGATGCGTTGTGCAGGATATCTTAGTAGTTTTAATTTTTCACAATAAAATTCTAAATAAATTGTTTTCGCGGACTATAACAGATAAGCCTGTGCCTTGTGCAGGATATCTTATTAGTTTTAAAAGGGCTTGGTTACTCTCCATTTTTAAATTAAAAAACATAATATTATTTTTTTAATAACTATAAAAACAAAAATTATTATTGTAAACAGTTAAATATTCCATATTTTTTTAAAAGGGGAGGCGCCCACCCTCACATTGTTCATTGCCTTGACGTGGCGTGAGGGCTCTACTTTGGTGGTCTAAAATGAACACGTTGAGGGATTGTATGCAATCATTCTTTTATTCTTCCCATTGTGTTTTCCTTGGTCGCCATGTTGGATGTACACACTAATATTTAATGCGATCTTTATGAACTTACCTGCTTTCTATAAATCATTTTTAAGTTATAAAATACACTTATAATACAATATTATTTAATTATCAATGTTTAAATGTCACCAATATGCGCTAATATTAAAATTTCAAGTGTTATTCGGTGATTACAAGTGTTATTTGGCTAATAACGGTGTTATTTGGTGATTCGTGTTACCCCAATTTTTACCTGCTTCAGGTGTACAGAATCAATTTTTACCTGCTTCAGGTGTACAGAATCAATTTCTTACCTGCTTTAGGTGAACTTTATGGTACAGTACATAAGCATAGAAGGCACTGGTTTAAGGGGAGGGAGTTGTTAAAAAATTCCTGAATAGAGTTGATAAGGCTTGGAAATGGATTCTTAGGGCTGCCAAATCAGAAAATTACTACTGACACAGAATCCTAAAAGCATTATATAATTTGGGTGCAAAACTATTGACGAATCACATTTTGTCATATAGCACATGATCAACGCTAATGCACAACATTGTCTGTATGGACTTCATCCAAATTGTGGACTTGTAGATGTTGCATTTAATTGGGAAATCTGTAATAAAACATAATTGTTAATTGCCTTTCCAAAAAAAAACAGTAAAAAAAATAGCTCGTTGTGTAGTTAAGTTGACTACATATTCTATTTCTCCTAACTAACATATTTTTAATACAATTGATCTAAATTTTGCTATGATCTACAATATATACATGTAACTATTAACTGTAACATTTACTATGTCTACAACATATACATGTACTATTAACTGTACATTTACTATGTCTACAACATATACATGTACTATTAACTGTACATTTACTATGTCTACAACATATACATGTACTATTAACTGTAACATTTACTATGTCTACAACATATACATGTACTAAGTCTATTAACTGTACATTTACTATGTCTACAACATATACATGTACTATTAACTGTATATTCACTATGTCTACAAAATATACATGTACTATTAACTATACATTTACTATGTCTACAACATATACATATACTATTAACTACATTTACTATGTCTACAACATATACATGTACTATTAACTGTACATTTACTATGATGATCAAAATTGAATTATATTTTACAGCATTTGCAATTGACCCAAATGTTACGATTATTGATGAAGCTCCAAAAATGGTGATTGGTGTAAGTGGGAGGAAGGAAATGATAGCTACAAAAGACAAAGATATCTTCATGACATGTGTAGTACACAATAAACCAGCTGATAAAAAGGTAAATATCTCTGCTGCCTTAAACTTAAGGGAAATATCTCTGATGTCTGAAAACAAAAAGTAAATTTCTGTGTCATCTAGAAACAAAAGGTAAGAATTCTTGTATGATTTTAATATCTACAAATAATTGAATGTGATTTGTCATTTTTTTCACATAATAGACCATGTTGCAGAATGGCTTTTGAAAGCCTATGTAAACACCACATATATGTTGTGAAAACAGGACTGATGACTCACAAACTTTACTTAAAAGTCCTTCAGACATTTACATGTATTTAGTTTGTGAGTTTAACAACTCCAGTTTACACATCAATAACTGCTAAACTCATATGTGTAATTCTATACTACATGTACTAATCTCTGCCTTCTAAAAAGCAAAAATGAAAAAAGGGAAATATGTATGCCATCTAAAGACAAATGTAAATATCATTGACATTTTAATACAACCCAAAAAGTATTTACTTCTGCCGTCCAAAAGCAAAATGTGAATATGACTGACATCGAAAAAAGGGTATACATGTATTTGTAAAATTTAAAAAAAAACACTGCTGTTAAAAAAAATGTACATATCTCTTCCATCTAAAAGCAAACAAAAAAGGTATATTTCTCTACTGTCTAAAATAAAATATCTATGCCATGTAAAAACAAAGATAAACAAAAAAGTAAAAAAAAAAAGGTTCTCACAAAGGATAATCAACATCATACCCTGCAATCATGGTAAAAAAAATTTATGAAAAGTTGGGCAAAGTGTTACAGACACAAGAAAGACTGATGTATTCAAATGTAATAACTCTCTTGTAATTATTTCACTTGTAGGTTGAATGGAGAGCTATAGCTCCAGACAATACAAATATTGAAATCTCAGAAGATCAAGATTCAAAAGATGCATATAGATATCAGATTGATCAACCTTCTGCTATTTCATGGAGGGTCAAAATCCAGAACATACAGATTGCTGATGAAATGAGATATATATGCCAAGTAGAAATTGGTCACCAAAAATATGCAACGGAGGAAAGATATATTAGAGTTACAGGTATAGTGTTCTGAAATATGCAATATTTCTATAATTCTGTCTGTCTATACCAGGGTTAGCAAAAACCTAGGTTTTATGAGTATTGCCCAGCATAGTGGGAAATACTTAAAAATACTGGGTTTTACAGAGTAATAATGGGTAATATGAAATACTGACCTGAATTTTATAGAGGATTCAATAATCAATCATTAATGCAATACATTAAAGATATTTACAGAAACAAAACATAGTATTTTAATTTATAGCATGTATAGGTTCACTTGTTTGAGACTCTTATTATAAAGTGTATAAATCTGAGAAAGTATTGTTCTAGCAACTCTTAGAGAAGTGTAAATGAAGACACATTAGACAAATGTGAAAAGCTTTTCTCAATAACAATCTTAAAAATCTATTTATTCGACATTCTGTCTAGATTGGTCAAAATGTTTGTATAAAGCCAAAGAATTCAATTTTGATTTTTTATACGACCAGTTGTATAATGTTATGACGTTGTCAGCATGGTTGTCCTAAGACATTTGGTTTTCAAGGTTCAATACCATAAAAGGAAGGTTGAAATTGATTTTGGGGGTTATTGTCCTACCTGTTAAGGAATTGGGGGCCAAAAACAAGCATTTTTCTTGTTTCAAGACAATAACTTGTGTATAAGTGTATGGATCTCTATGAAAATTAATCACAAGGTTCCATACCTCAAAAGGAAGGTTGGGATTGCTTTTGGGGGTCATGGCCCAAACCGATTAGGAATTAAGGACCAAATAGGGGCAAAAATAATAGGATTTTCTGGTTTCTGGACAATAACTTGAGTATAAATAAAAAAATAAGAAGCTGTGGTATGATTGCCAATGAGACAACTCTCCACAAGAGACAAAATGACACAGACATTAACAACTGGGCCTACTTCGATTCGTCCAACTTGGGTTACTCGAGTTAAATTTTTAGGTATGATTGCGCATGCGTCAAGAGCGTATCAATCGAATCAAAAACTCTGGTGGAGAGTTACTCGAGATCCATTGTTTACCTTAACAACATGGATGAATTTACGATACTAAACCATATTTTTAGTGATGATGAACAAATGATGGCAATTCAGTATATAATTGATTCTAACCAAATCTTAATACAATTATTGACAACTTTGTTGCCCAGGGACCATGTCCCACGTATACAAAAATGTGCCGAGGAGACTGTACCAAGATTTTCCATGAATTTTGGAAAGATTTCAGAAGCAGTTTCCGCATCGATCGAACTACTTTTGAAATTGTGCTTCAAATGGTCGCACCCCTCTTGCAATCTGACCAAGTTGGTGGCAAAGAATAGATCGCTGTGGACAAGCAGTTGATGGGGTTTATTTGGTATATGTCCAACCTTGGGCAAGAGAGCATGAGAGAGACGTCCAATTTATTTGGAATGTCGATTTCAACAATCCGCGCTACCATTTTGCTAGTGAGTTGCCACTCCAATAATGCATATCGAAATGTAAGGGACTTTTGATAGGGGGTCCCCATTTCTGAGCCGGGGGTTAATTTTTTCCAAGAAGGTTTAGAGGGAGGTCATTTTAAAGTAACTTTTTTACACAGAAATAATACAAATTGTCAGCGACTATCTGGGGCGGGATATGTGTTTTTATTTCTTTTCTTTTTCTTTTCTTTTTGTTTGGTTTTTTTTCGGAAAGGGGACAAAGGGGGTCCTAATAAGAGCAAAACATTGAACTGATTTTGACAATAACAGTTAACAGCTAAAAAAAATATTCACAATAGCCGATAACAATGAATATAAAACGCCCAGAACACAAGAACAGTAAACGTCACCTTGTCCCCCCTCTGAAAAGTATATCGGCGGTACACGTGTATATTTTAAGGAATATTTACAATTGATGGACATTGATGTAATACAATAGATATATATATTGTGGTGTTTTAATGTGACTATTGTAATTGAACACTTAAACTTCTATTTTGTAACCTAAAATGGCTAAAATCGGGCCGTTTAAATCGTAAAAAATATATTTTCGAAAAGCACTCACGTCTCTTCCGTCGCCATCTTGCCGTTTATCTCAACTTGCCGATTAAACCTGGTCAGGGGCAGGATTGATATCGAGTTAACTCGAGGGTTGTAAAATGATAAAACTCGGGTACTTCGATTGCAACTCTAGAAACTCGGGTTACCCGAGTTGGACGAATCGAAGTAGGCCCTGAAGGTAATCGTACAGCCTTCAACAATGAGTAAAACCCATACCGTATACATGTAGTCAGCTATAAAAGGCCCCAAAATGACAAATGTAAAAACAATTCAAATGAGAAAACTAACGGCCTGGTTTATGTACAAAATAATGAACGAAAAACAAATATGATATACAGCAACAAATGACAACCACTGAATTACAGGCTTATTACTTTGACCTATAATTGTTTACTTTTTACAAATTGTGACTTGGATGGAGAGTTGTCTCATTGGCACTCATACCACATCTTCTTATTTCTTATTATAAGTCTATGGATCTCTATTAATACTAAAGTATAAATTGCTTATTTCTTGACCAATTTCAATGGGGTTTAAGTTAAAGTCTGGAATTCTTGGGGTTCTTTAATATGCTGAATCTAACCATGTTTTTGGATTTTGGGCCCCATTTTTAAATTGGTCCACATTGAGGTCCAAAGGGTCCAAAATTTGTTAGATTTCAAACAAAATTAAATTCTCAGGGTTCTTTGAGATGCTGAATCTGTGTATTTAATTTTTTGATTGTGGGTCTGGTTTTCAAATTGTCTCACATTATTTTAGGTCCTAAGTGTCCAAAATTAAACTTGGTTTGATTTTAACAAAAAATGAATTCTTGGGGTTCTATGATATGCTGAATCTAACCATGTATTTATATTTTTGATTTTGGGTCCGGTTTTCAAATTGGTCCACATTAAGGTCGAAAGTGTCCAAAATTAAACTTAGTGTTGATTCTTAACAAAAATTGAATTTTTGGGGTTCTGTGATATGCTGAATCTAACCATGTATTCAGATTTTGAATTTTGGGCTCCAATAATATCAAATTGGTAGAAATTGAAAGTAGATTCATAGTTTTAGAAATTATGTATGAATATAGGTTGAAATTAACTGTTCATTATTAGATATTTTGAAAAATAAAGGTAAGTTTTATAGATTTTTAAAGACATTGTATTAATGATGAATGATATTTTGGAAATTGTTTTATTTTCATTTTTTTGGTAAATATTTTGACGAACTTCGTGGTAGGTTTGTTTTTTATTCTGTATAAATTAATTTGCAGAATGTTATATACCGTACGGTTAACTCTCATTGTCTCCAACTCGGTTGACTCGAAATTGTGGATGAGTCGAAGTTTTTCCCATTGTCCCAAATTTTGTTCTATATAAATATATGCATTTCAACTCCTGAATTGTGATGAGTCGCAATTTTGATTGACTTGAACCAAATTTACTATCCCAAGGTTAACAAAAGCATTCAAATTGCATTTTTTATCTCACACTAATACACATATGTCAAAACATGACCTCGGATATTAAAATGGATTGGAGAGTTCACCTGACAATACACTGTAATTAAATTTTCAGTCACTGACCGCTGTATTGATTTATAACATTCTTTTTCCATAAGTGTTTACCTAAGATTTTCTTTGATCAACATGGTAAATAATTAGTGATGCATTGTTATAGTTTATGAAAATTATTTAAAATGTTTGAAAAACAGACCGTAATCATACATTTATGAGCATGGTTGGGCATAAAGTAGAGATTAAGACTTAGGGATCAACTCAAAACTACTCAATCCACTTCTTTAATCTTTTTGTTCTTTATCTTGCAGAAAAAGATTGAAATAAAAGAAATCTAAATTTTACTAAAATCTCTGGTATACAAGAATGAATAATTTTGTCAACTTTGAATCACGCTAAGATATTGGACCATAATAGGTAAAATTCCAATTTCAAATTTTTCAGTTCTTTGGCCACATTCATTCTGTGTTTCAGAAACCTATGCTGTGTCAAATATTTAATCACAATCCAAATTTAGAGCTGTATCAAGCTCGAATGTAGTGTCCATACTTGCCCCAACTGTTCAGGGTTTGACCTCTGCGGTCGTATCAAGCTGGACCCAGCAAAGCAATTTTTATTTAGATATATATAACAATTATATAAAAATTAACAATTATATGTAAGGAAAATTACTTTTAAAAATTTTTTGTCCATTGCTAAAATCGTTTTCTAAGCAGTATATATAAAATATGTACATCACTAATTAATAAGTAATTATTCAAATTATAAAACAGATTTGTTCATATAACAATATCAACCTTTTCATTTCTATAAATGTTCATAACATGTCCCATAGGGTGATTATTTAGCAATATGATTGTATAACAATTAAAATTTACAATTCACTTAAACACTGTAATGAAATGTATGTTTTGAAAAGTTTGGATTATTGAAACAAAGCTTTGAAATTAACAAGGTATCCTAAAATGTGCAAAACTTGTATTCTGCCTACATAGAATTATTGGAGAAAAGGAAGAAATTGAATTTTCAATCCTCTAGAAATGACTCTCAATGGTTATCTGTATAAAATGTATATATTTAGCTATAATACTATGAAACTACAGCAAGTCTTTACTATTCTGTGTAAAAATAAGCTAAAAAAATCGTATTGCCCAGTATTACCCATTTGTGGAAGTATTTTCCCAGCCCGGGAAAGCTCGGGGTTTCCCAACCGGTTTACCTGACCAGGTAATACTTTGCCAACCCTGGTCTATGCATGTACTATTTTAAGCTGACTTGTCCTAATTGTAAACTTTTTTTAAATCTTCTCCTTTGAAACTACTGGACCAAACTTAACCTGAATGTTCCTAAGGTTATCCAGTTAAATAATTGTATCCAGGGATTTGATGCATCATCAATGGCTGTTGTTGCTGAAATATAGAACAAAGGGGTTAAAATGCCTGTTTTGGCTTATATGTTTTAAACTAAAGCAGTTATAGCAAAACTTACTGGATAAAAAGATAAACAGGTCACTGGTCAGGGTCCATCTCCCATGGAATTTTCAGAAGAATCAGACAATCAATTTTGGAGTTATTGCCCCTGAAAAGTAAATTTTTAGCAAATTTCAGTTTTTGGCTTATATCCCAAAAACTCAAACAGAGCAAAACTGACAACAGGTTTAATTTCAATTAAAAACAGAGCTTTTTGCTGTCATCTGGAATACCAACTTTTCTGTTGATATTATCATTATCTTTAACTATAAATACTGATCAAACATAAATTTTAAATCTATTAGAGAAGTCATACTGCACCGTTTTACCTTTCACTGATAGACATATCTTTAGATCCATAATTAACTTTCTTGATTAATGATGAAAAAAATGAGATATGTTATATAATTCTTTGTTTCTGTTTTTCATTGGTCTTTTATATTATCATAAGAAATCATATAACCTCATCTTTCTGTTTTCTACTTGCAGAAAAACCTCAGATTATGGACTTACTGACCAGCAGTAACCAGCTGGTAGAAGAAGGAGATCCAGTCCAGCTTACCTGTAACTGTACAGGATGGCCAAGGCCAAATGTTAAATGGTCAAAAGTTGCTGGTGGGTTGCTGCCAAGTGGAGGACAAGAGTATGCTGTAAGGCATTATCATGTTAACATGCTCCGATATTTGCAGTTTGATTGCATAATTAAATGCATATATAAATAGAATAAGGAAGTTCTCATTTGTTGGTTTTCTAAGCACAAAAACTTGTTGCAGGAAGAAAGTTAAAAGGTCAACTAATTATAGATGATCATTTTGTATAAAGGCATGCATTTCCATAAGTGCTTACATGTATGTGTAAAGTGGATACAAGGCTTAGACATATATATACTACTAGTCTTGTATGGCTACCACCTCAAAGAAGATAGGATCAAGCCACTTTTTTCATTCCTTGAATTTTAATTAGCTAATCTCATTAGACATAATCATGATTCGTCTGTCGGATGTTAGTATTTTATTTATTGTTGTAGTAAAAATAGTCTGCAAAAAGATCGCTATCTTTTATTTTTCTTAATTATATGAATTATTCTGCATATTCAGTTTGTTATATCAAAAGAAATATTTAAAAAACAAGGATTTGCCTGCACAATATAACCATTTTGAACCCCTGTTTGGGACTTGTATTTGATGAATTACTACTATAAAAGAGAGGCAAAAGTTACCAAAGGGATATTTATACTCATAAATTGAAAACAAAATGACAATGCCATGGCAAAAAACGAAAACCGATGAAATGACAAATGACAGTACACAAAACACAACAGAGAAAACTAAAGACTGCGCAACACACACACCACCAAAAACCAAGAGTGATCTCAGGTGCTCCGGAAGGGTAAGCAGATCCTGCTATACATGGTGCACCCGTCTTGTTAAAACTGCCAAAATGGCCTCATTTCGAAAGCTTGTCATTTGTATTGAGTTATGAGCCAAATACTTACCAAGAAAGGTAATTTGGTACAATGTGTCGCATAAAAAAACTGTTTATCTGGCTATAATATCTTTTTCTGTAAGATTGTGAATCATGTTTTTTTTTGCAAAAAAGTATCTGAAAATTTGCCATTATAGGTCTGATATGTCAATGTCTACATGTTTATGACATCAAGACATAACATTTCTGCACTGAAGTGTCCAAATTATATAGTCCTATTCATTTATTAATAGAATATGATTGAAAGGATTGAAGAATTTTACTATTTTTGCAATTTCAGGGCCTAGATAATGGTGTTTAACAAACCCTCCTCTTTGTTAGAAATTTTAATCTACTTTTCTTGCAACATGGTTAGCAAAGCTGTAGGAATTAATTTCCATTTCTGTATGTTGAATTTTAGTACTGCATTGAGTATATTGGACTGTTACTCTGATAGCTTGAAGAAGTTATATTTTGTATTTCATCATTTAAGAAATGAATTTATTTGCAGGGATACACATTAAATCTTGGTACTTCTCGACCAGACCACAGAGGTTACTACAAGTGTACCTGTCAGAACATGGTTGGGAAAGACACCAGGATTGTATACTTGGGGGTTGTATGTAAGTAAACAATGAATTAAATAAAATCTGTGGAAACCTCATTGTAAATATACACTTGTATGTATTTAGCTTCAGAATGGTAGTTGTACAGTAGACTCTGGCAAATAGGATACCCAAAATGTCAGCAAAAAATATATTGGATAATGGGATATTTTATCAGCTGGTTATGTAATGCTCATATTTTTGTTTTTATACGACCGCAAAAATTAAAAAATTTTTGGTCGTATATTGGTATGACGTTGGCGTCGTCGTCCGAAGACACATTGGTTTTCGCACTCTAACTTTAGTTTAAGTGAATGGATCTCCATGAAATTTTACCATAAGGTTCAATACCACGAAAGGAAGGTTGGGATTGATTTTGGGGGTTATGGTACCAACAGTTAAGGAATTAGGGGCCAAAAAGGGGCCAAAAATAAGCATTTTTGTAACTTTCAGACAATAACTTGTGTGTAAGTGTATAGATCTTTCTGACATTGTACCACAAGGTTCCATATCACAAAGGGAAGGCTGTAATTGATTTTGGGGGTAATTGCCTCAAAATTTTAGGAATTAGGGGCCAAAAAAGGGGCAAAAAACAAGCATTTTTCTAGTTTCATGACAATAACTTGTGTGTAAGTGTATGGATCTCTCTGAAATTGTACTGCAAGGTACCATACCACAAAGGGAAGGCTGGGATTGAGTTTGGGGGTGATGAATCATAAGGGGGTTCAAAAAATTTGGGGGGGGATTTTTTTTTTTTCTTTTTTTCCTTTTTTTTTTTCTTTTAAAATTTTCCATTTTAAGTTGGTTATTTCTGGTTTATATTTAAAAGCAAATAATAATGATATGGTAGGAGATACACACCAAACAGGATGTGTAAATTTTTATATAATAAGTATTGTGCAATAGCAAGAAATTTTCAATTGCACAGTATTGCACAATAGCAAGAAATCTTCAATTGCATAGTATTGCGCAATAGCAAGAAATATCCAATAGCACAATATTGCACAATAGCAAGAAATTGTCAATTGTACAGTATTGCGCAATAGCAAGAAATATTCAATTGCACAGTATTGTGCAAAAGAAGATACTTCTTATAAATTGCTTATTTCTTGATCAATTTCAATGGGGTTTTATTCTTGATTCTTGGGGTTCTTTAATATGCTGAATATAACCGTGTATTAAGTTTTTGGATTTTGGGCCCCGTTTTTAAATTGGTCCACATTGAGGTCCAAAAGGGTCCAAAATTTAACTTTGTTTGATTTCATCAAAAATTGAATTATTGTGGTTCTTTGATATGCCGAATCTAACCGTGTATTTAGATTCTTAATTTTTGGTTCCGTTTTCAAATTGGTCTACTTCAAGGTCCAAAGGGTCCAAAATTAAACTTAGTTTGATTTTAACAAAAATTGAATTTTTAGTGTTCTTTGATATGCTGAATCTAAACATGTATTTAGATTTTTGATTATGGGCCCAGTTTTCAAGTTGGTCCAAATCGGGGTCCAAAATTAAACTTTGTTTGATTTCAACAAAAATTGAATATATGGGGTTCTTTGATATGCTGAATCTAACCATGTATTTAGATTTTTGGGCCCCGTTATCAACTTTGTCCACATTGAGGTCAAAAGGGTCCAAAATTAAACTTTGTTTGATTTCATCAAAAATTGAATTCTTCGGGTTCTTTGAAATGCTGAATCTAACCATGTATTTAGATTTTGGATATTGGACCATAATAGGTGAATGTCCAATTTAAAATTTTTAAGTTCTTAGACCACATTCATTCTGTGTCAGAAACCTATGCTGTGTCAAATATTTAATCACAATCCAAATTCAGAGCTGTATCAAGCTTGAATGTTGTGTCCATACTTGCCCCAACTGTTCAGGGTTCGACCTCTGCGGTCGTATCAAGCTGCGCCCTGCGGAGCATTTTATTCAGTTTTAAAATCCTATAATTATTAAAATAAATCAAATGTCCTGAAATATTTATGTGAATAAATATCTACCATCTTTATTTGTTTTAATACGAAGTAATATCCATATTTACATTTGTATGTGGTAAAATCACAGGTAAGCCAATTGGGCTATAAATAGATTATAGCATGTTCTGTTTTTAAACTGAATTCGAATATTTCTTTGAATAATCAAATTTATTTGAATATCAATGAAGATAATCATAATTAATAAAATATAATTGCATCAAGTTAAAGTTTTCTGAAGACTGTTAATGTTTTGGTCATGGTTCTAGAGGCTTCATTACATTTTGTAAACAAAAGAAAATGGCATCCATGACATGTGGTCAAACCTACACATGTTACAAAATTATATCTGACAAAAGTCAGATTTCTTTTGCCAAAAGGGATTTATATGTATATTGCAATAAATTTTTCAGAAGGAGGTACATTCAGTCTAAATTATATTTCTGATTCAGTGAGCACTTACAGTTTTATCAAAATAATCCCAACGTATTTCTAGATCTTGTACCGTATATTTTATAAATAAATTCAAACCATTTGAATTTTAAGGGCATATAATTCACATTATAAAGGAATACAATGAATGATAGACAACACTTTATTAAGAAATAGTTCCTTTTATTAATTAAAAACAAAATTTTCTTGTCTGCAAGATTGTAATTGCGAAACTTCCGTGTCCATTTCCTGTCAGAAAAACATGGAAAATATCTGATTGTGCATAGTTTTGAACAAAATTTCTTGAATATTCTTATCCTATTTGCCGATATATTCTTTTATCCGATATTCGATTATACAATAAAATTAACATTAAACGTATAGAGAAGAGTTTGGTGTTTTGAAATAATATTACAATAGCCGATATATTCGTTTAGCCAATATCCAATTAGGTGGAGTCTACTGTATCATGAATTAATTCTGTGGCATGAAAATGATAGATATTCCATACATTACCAGTATATTAGGAAACTTCATCACTGTGTTTGGGAAACTGAAGTTATAAAAAGTGGAATATACTAACAAAAATATCTAATCTAGGAAAAAATACAGAATTTTCTGTGTCAAATGTTTGACTTGAAATAGTTGAAAAATGTTATACATTAGACAACTTATTGTTAACTTTTCAGCTAGGCTATATTTACAAATAGATTAAACATTTTGAATTAAGAGAAAAACTTAAGTATTTTTATCTTTACTTAGTACAGATTATTTAAATATAGAATATAAGTCAAATAGAACCAATTTACTGGACATAAATGTGACATAATTTGTAAAAAAATACATAACCTTTCTTGAAACTTAAAAAACTTTTAAAAAAACTACGATGGCATATCACAGGAAACATGTAATGTAAAATTTCCATTGACAACACACTACTTTATATTTATAGTCAAACCAACAATTCAGGTTGGACAAATGGAACCAGCTCAAGCCTATGGGTACCAGAAAACATTGGAATGTGTTATAGAAGCTTATCCAGTGCCATCAGAAGATCAGATCACATGGACTCATGAAAATATCCCTGTTCCATCCAGGTAAATGGGAAACAATATTCTGCTCAGTTTGTGTGGTTAACAGACATCTTTTACACCTAAGTGTTTAAATTTACAACCAAACTGCTCTAAATATAAAAATAAGAAGATGTGGTATGATTGCCAATGAGACAACTCTCCACGAGAGACCAAATGACACAGAAATTAACAACTATAGGTCACTGTACGGCCTTCAACAATGAGCAATACCCATACTGCATAGATGGCTTTTAATTATCCTGACTTATTATTATACAAAAAATTTAGAATTATCTAAAATACATAGTTTTAAGGAGCACAACGAGTATAATATAAGTAAGAAGTAAATTTTAATGTAAAGTTATAAGGCAAAATACACTGTTCTTAATATTTAAGTTATTTTGTTATATTTTTCAGTGCTAAAATAAAGTACATAGAAGGAGCCATGAATCGAGTCACCACCAAGCTAACAATAAGAGGTGTAGATCCAAATGCTCTTGGTCTTTACACATGTCAAGCCAGTAACAATAAGGGATCAACACAGGCAAATATAAATTTGAAATGTAAGTAACCATGGCAACTGACCTTCAATTTTATATATTGACAAAATTTTTTAAAAAGTTCAGAACAAAGAGCAGAAAGTTTTTTGCATCATGGTGCTTCAAATGTTTGGAAATAACATGCAAATAATGTGCTACTTGTTTTTTGGAGTTTTATTTTTCAGATAGATCACCACTTTGTTCAGTAGAATGAGTAAATCTGTGCCATCACTTGGCATCCATTGCTGTCAAACTAGGGTGTGAACTTTTTTTATAATCTCTACTAAAACTACTTGACCAATTTCAACTAAACTTGGACATAATGATCCTTGGGGAATGTAGTATAAAGTTTGTGTTTTTTTTCCCCTGCCAGTCAACCAACATGGCTGCCATGGCATAAAATAGAACAAAAGGGTAGAATTTATTAATTTCCTAACATCTTGAATCCAATATAGGTAGAAAAAATTCCTATAAAGGCAAAAAAGCTCAAGATAAATCTTCTTCCCATTTCAGCACAAAATAATCAGGTTACCTCTTATGGTAGTTGTCCTTACAAATGAGGATCCCTGTTTTGCCTATGATCTCGAAATCTATTATAGATAGGTAGAAACTATAATCATCAAAAACGTTCAGCAATACCTGATCTACAAAAATTCCAATACAAGGGAAACCATTGGATGACAACTTATTGGAGTTAATTGCCTTTAAATGATGACTATTTTTACTAATTTAGAGTATTTGCTTATTTATCTTGAAAACTTTAATACATAGGTATAAAACTATAAACAACAATAAGGTGGCCGAGTGGTCTAAGTACTGTATCACTAGCTTGTCAAAACTGAGGTTGTGAGTTCCAATCCTGCATGGTGTGCTTGACTCCAATCTTTATCGACTAGGTTTGTCAGTTTTCCTACCGAAGGTCCTGGTTCTTTGGCTTCCTCCAACAATAACAAATAGCACAACAGTGCTGAAAGTGGTTGCTTAAACAACAATCAATCATCTTAACAACAATAATGATCAGCAATGCAAGATCTACCAATAATGCCAAAATGAATGGAACCATGGATAATAAACACCTTAAAGGACTAATTGTTCTGTAATGATGGTTTATGACTTATTGTCCTGTAATGATGGTTTATGACTAATTGTCCTGTAATGATGGTTTATGACTAATTGTCCTGTAATGATGGTTTATGACAAATTGTCCTGTAATGATTGTTTATGACCTATTGTCCTGTAATGATGGTTTATGATCAATTGTCCTGTAATGATGGTTTATGACTTATTGTCCTGTAATGATGGTTTATGACCAATTGTCCTGTAATGATGGTTTATGACTTATTGTCCTGTAATGATGGTTTATGACCAATTGTCCTGTAATGATGGTTTATGACTAATTGTCCTGTAATGATGGTTTATGACCAATTGTCCTGTAATGATGGTTTATGACCAATTGTCCTGTAATGATGGGTTATGACCAATTGTCCTGTAATGATGGTTTATGACCTATTGTCCTGTAATGGTGGTTTATGACCAATTGTCCTGTAATGATGGTTTATGACTAATTGTCCTGTAATGATGGTTTATGATCAATTGTCCTATAATTATGGTTTATGACCAATTGTCCTGTAATGATGGTTTATGACTTATTGTCCTGTAATGATGGTTTATGACCAATTGTCCTGTAATGATGGTTTATAACTAATTCTCCTGTAATGATGGTTTATGACTAATTGTCCTGTAATGATGGTTTATGACCAATTGTTCTGTAATGATGGTTTATGACTTATTGTCCTTTAATGATGGTTTATGACCAATTGTGCTGTAATGATGTTTTATGACCAATTGTCCTGTAATGATGGTTTATGACTAATTGTCCTGTAATGATGGTTTATGACCAATTGTCCTGTGATGATGGTTTATGACCAATTGTGCTGTAATGATGTTTTATGACTAATTGTCCTGTAATGATGGTTTATGACTAATTCTACTGTAATGATGGTTTATGACTAATTCTCCTGTAATGATAGTTTATGACTAATTTTCAAGATTTTACCAATTATCTATAAAACTATTATAGATAGGTCGAATATTTTAGCAACATAAATAATCATCAATACCAGATATATGTTAGCAAGGTTTCAGTTTCAAGCTCTTAGGAGCCTTTTGTGTCTGAATTTTGTCACTATAGGTTTTTTCTTGCTATTTTGGGGACTTATGGTTGCAAAAAGTTTATTTAAGCCCTGTTTATAGTAGGATATTTTGGTTGATAGCCTAAGACCATTCAGTTTTAGCTTTGAATTTGAAACTTCTGTGTAACTTTTTGGTAAATAAGGATTAAGAGTCAATTTAACTGCAAACAAGATATGAAAATAAGTTTAATGCTACTGCAAATGAAATGTAAATTTTATGTTCCAAAATTTTGTCAACAATTTTATACGGTAAATAATCTGCCCCAGGCCAGTATACTATCCTACACTCCATCTCCAAATATCTTTTATAGATGTTCTTCCAATTGAATTTGATGCTTTTCGAAGTCGCTAGTAACAACAAACTACGGCCATTTTGCATCTCCTCATACAGCATTATAATTATAAAAATGCTTTCACCTTTATACATATGAACAATTTTAAAACTAGCAGGTATGATTTTGTGTTGCATATAGAAGACAGTCTGACTAGACTGTACAAGTGTGGTCAAAGACAGTCTGACTAGACTGTATAAGTGTGGTCAAAGACAGTCTGACTAGACTGTACAAGTGTGGTCAAAGACAGTCTGACTAGACTGTACAAGTGTGGTCAAAGACAGTCTTACTAGACTGTACACGTTTGGTCAAAGACAGTCTGACTTGACTTTATAAGTGTGGTCAAAGACAGTCTGACTAGACTGTACAAGTGTGGTCAAAGACAGTCTGACTAGACTGTACTAGTGTGGCCAAGAAGATACTGTCAATCTGAATAAAGATGGCTAAGTTACTGCATTTAATTTCAGACAGTTAAAAAAAACATTTAGCAGACTTAAAAATTTCATCAAATGTTTTTTTTTTAAAGCATACTACATTGTATATGTATTTAAGTGTTTTTAAGAATTTGTAACATAAAAACAAAATACCATTTTGACTCATTTGATTTCAGACTTGGCTTAATAAGGATAGTTATGAACTTATGTTGTGTTTTACATAATAAATGATATATGTTGATAACAATTTTAACATAATGATGATTTTATTATTTGTAGATTCTAGCCAGCCAACACCAGATATAACTGGAGAAATTATAAGAAGTGGTGCCTCACTCATCTCTATCAGCATAACAACGCTACTGATGTTTGTCACAGTCGGACTTCTTCATACATGTAAATTCTAGCATCATAGCATGTCTTCATACATGTAAATTGTAACCTCAAAGAAATCATTGTCTATTCATATGTATATTTGAACTCGTCATAAACAGAACCCTGAGATCTTCATAAATATACAACCGTCAGCTGTCAGATTTATACTGCACTAAAATCTAGATGTGTTAATCCTGGATCATTTAACTTATTATTCATCAGAGCGATTTCTGAAATTTGAACTGATATTTGAAATACACTTTACATACAAGGAACTTAAATGATTTTGAGAACTGAAAAATAAATTTCTTACTTTCGAAAGAATTCATTCTACCATATTATAGCACTTGTCAAAATGAGACACTTTTTATGAAGATATAAGGAAAATAAACATATTTTAAATTGAAATATTTGAATAATTTAATTCTAAGATGACTAAAGTTGAAAAATATAAAAGTTATATATTGGACGTGGTGTGTTATTTGACTTAACAAAGTTGTAGAATTAACGTATGTGGTTGTGACAAGTTGTGACATTTTGTTTTCAAATGTTAAGATTAGCATAATCTCAGTTAACCTGAAGGCAATAATTGTTGTTATTGTTAAGTCTATTTATATCATATTTGTAAATTTAAAACATATAGTACCAAATATGCAGTTCTGTTAATAGGTATAAATAATGTATAAATGGGAGGTCATATGTATTCACTTTTCAAACATTAAGGCAATTTATGATAGAATTTTATTTTAAATATTTGTATGAAGTGTCTAGATTTCTTAAAGTACCTACAAATGCATTTAATACAATATAAATTACTGTAGTTATATCATAGTGTCAACAAATCAAAACTTTTTGTATCACATTGCTGCTTTAACTATTTGAGTGTGTTTAAAGTACAAGTTACCTTGTTATAGTTAGATGGGCCATGAATTCAGCATTAGATTTATTTACTACATGTTGTACATTTAGTAATGATTGTTGTTATTAACCAATCAAATCAGAGAAGACATAATAAGAGGAATCCTATAGGAGCAGCTTGACCTTGGTTTTTTTTTCAGTTTCTGTGCTAGCCACCAAATTAAACATGTTTCATCTTACAAATTTTCAATCTTAATTTAAATATTCAAACTACACACTCAAATTACTTTATATCTGTAAAAATTGCAAAACTGACATTTTTCACCGGTTGTTTCAAAAATTTTGAAGACATTCCATTTTTATCATTGTATATATGTAAATATCATCACTATATTTGTATAAAATGTGTATATTTGGATGCAACTTTTTACATATCATCAATATCTGTCATAGTTTTTCTTTATAGTTCATATATTGATTATTATCTACCTTCACAAAATTTCAGGGAATAACCAAAACTACAAGCCTTAATTTAAAATTTAAAATATATTGAGTAAAACCTTGATACACTGTGAGTGAGGATTGTTTTCTACGAAAATTTTCGATTTTTTGGGCTTTTTTGAGAGTTTACGATGTTAAAGTTTTATAATTTTATTTACTTTTTTCGCTTATATATAAACTAAACCCATTTTAAGCTTGACATGTATGTTGAACATATATTTAATGTTTTTTTTTGATATATTAATTTTTGTACATTACAAATTCTTGATGGTGATAGAAAAAATCTTCCAGCCTTGTATAGTGTGAAATAAAAGATAAACAACTGGGATTTTATGAAATCATAGGAATATACTTGGATTTTCATTGTAAATTACATTGTGTGTTCTATGACACTTTAGCAGGTACATATCAGTAGATTTTTTTTTTGGGGAATTTCTCGCTGCATTGAAGACCTGTTGGTGACCTTCTGCTGTTGTCTGTTCTATGGTCGGTTTGTTTGTCTCCTTGACACATTCCCCATTTCCATTCTCAATTTTATTGTCATACATTCCACATAATTATATATAATGTATAACATAGATTTTAATTGTGTATTTTTATATGGAACTTTTTGTACATATTTTATTTTTTATCATATAAATGTTATTGTTTGGATATGAAATACAAATTTTAAGGGCAAAGTGCTATTACAAATTTAAATTTTCTTACAAAATCTAGAGGTGAAAAAAAACATCAAAGATGTTTTAGAAAAATAGAAAACATTATTATATACAGTAAAAAAACAATCTAAATGGAAATAAATTACTACATAAATCAATCGTTTTTATTATCAATTTTCTTGTAAGTTGTTGATTCCCTGTACTTGTTACAGAAGCTTTTAAAAAATTGTTAGCTTCTATGAGGGTGGTAATGGGGGTACCTTTATGACGAATAACGGTAAAAATTCTTGCCAGATGACGTTAACGGTAATTTTTGATGCATGACGATAAAATGTACACTTTCTTTTAGACGATAAAAAAATCGGCTGATTTTGACGAATCACGTTAAATTTTTTCCAAAAATGACGGTAACGATAATTATTTGAAACCTCTGATGAATCACGATTAGGATATTTTGACGAATCACGGTAAAATTTAAACCAATTTGAAGCTAACGGTAGCCGAAAATGACCGTTTGACGCCTGACGGTAAAGTGCATTACTACCCTCTTCTATAGGTGAAATGGTTTGATCCATGTTACTCCATCTTGAATTTACCTGAAAGGAGTTCTTTCTGAGGAGTTTTAATTTGATAAGATTAGTAAGCAGTTTTAAATGTTCATGTGACAATTAAAAAAACCCAGAATAGACTACTTGGCAAAAATTTGGTTTGTAGATGAATGCATTACCTTTGATTTGTGTTTTATTCTATTTGTTTTTAATATCTGAAGATATTTTTAATTTGATTCGAACATTTTATTGAATTTTCATATTTCCAGACACAATTATATATGAAATGTATTTTACATTTAATTTGATAATAAATAATATAGATGTAAGTTTGTTGTTTTATTTTTATATCTGGATGATAATTATAGTGCCACTTGACAAAATCTTTTTTGATTTTAACATAAATGAACCATAAAAATATAAGTCATGTTCAGTTTTGAAGGCAACAACCTTTCAAGATTTACGGTAATCAATTATTTGAAAAATGGATTTTTTCTTGATGATAACTAGTTTACCACTTGACAGAACATATACAAATTTTAACATAATGCAGCATTGCTAAACTACAGTTGAAGTGTAATGTTAATGGATTTGTCATTAACTGATCAAGAGTTGTGCCCCTTAGCTTATATAACAAGAGTGCACACCCTGAAATGTCTTGCTTGCTTTACTTATTATTGAATTTATGTTGAAAGTCTGTAATATGAAGGTTTTACTACAAGTATCACCTAAACTTAACATTATCAATGATCCATTGAAATGAGGTCAAGGTCAGATGAACCATTCCAGACTGACCTGTGCACCTACAATCCTTTCCCACACCTTAGTAGCAATATACCAACTTCACCTGCATATGGGATATACTTTTCCCCAACTCATCATTATTCAAGAGCTTGCAGCTGCTACCCAGACTTTATAAAACGTCACCAGTGTCTGAGCAGAAAGTTGTTGAACCAGGGTTATGTTAAAGAACATCTCTTCCTTTTTCTAAAAAAGAGCATCGGAAGATACCAAGACCTTGTTGATAAATATTCTGTATCAAGTTCACAAATAATATATGATGATCTTGAAGTATAGATTCTAGGTACTGACGTCATTTATCATCTTAATTACTAGGGATGTCAACTAGTACTCGAGTATCGCTCGGTAGTACAGAGTATCGAATACCAAAATGATATTAGTCTAATTGGTTTCCTGTTAGAATGTTGTTGCCTTTTTAAAGAACAAAATATTTTTATTAAAGCGCCTCCTTGGAAATTAAATATGAACCAAAATTATTCAAAATTAAAAATTGTTTCGAATGTTTGCATTTTATTGTCATTTAAAATTCCATCGAACAGAGGTAGGCTATGAACAAGAGTACCTTTCCAAGGCTTACACTTTTAGCTAATCGTGTCTTAGTCATTCCACCACCTCTGTACTGTCAGAGCAAATATTTTCATCAGCAGGACTGTTAGTTACGTAACAAAGTTGACAAGATAATATTTCTAAATAAAAACAAATTCGTTGCACCCTTTGTTGATCATTAAATGTGTTTCTTTATGATTCCCAAATACTGTTGTTTGAGTAATCATTTTTCTACAGATGTTTATTAATTAATTGATTAGACAAATATAGTTCACCTTTTGCTTATAGTATCTGATAAACTGACAAAACCATGAAAACTTATCATTCACCGATGAACCATGAAACATGAAAATAAGGTCAATGTCACTTTTTGAAAGCTGCGAGAAGTTCCGATAAGATCATTCCATACACAAAATATAGTGCCCATATTGCTTATAGAATCTGAGAAATAGACCAAAACACAAGAGTGCACATGCTGAAATGTCTCGCCTATTATATTGACCATTGATTTTATGTTGATAGTCCTACATATAAAGTTTTACTACAAGTATCACATTAACATTTATGATCCAAGAAAATGAGGTCAAGGTCAAATAAAACCTGCCAGACTGACATGTACATTGTAAAATATTTCCATACACAAAATATAGTTGACCTACTGCATACAGTATTAGAAAAACAGACCAAAACACAAAAACTTAACATTGACAACTGAACCATGAAAATGAGGTCAAGGTCATTTGACACCTGCCAGTTGGACATGTACACCTTACAATCATTACATAAATCAAATATAGTAGACCTATTGCTTATAGTATCTGAGATATGGACTTGACCACGAAAACTTAACCATGTTCACTGATCCATGAAATGAGGTCGAGGTAAAGTGAAAACTGTCTGACAGACATGAGGACCTTGCAAGGTACGCACATACCAAATATAGTTATCCTATTACTCATAAGAGAGAAATTAACATTACAAAAAATCTTACCTTTTTTTCAAGTAGTCACTGAACCATGAAAATGAGGTCAAGGACAATGGACATATGACAGACGGAAACTTCATAACACAAGTCATCTATATACAAAGTATGAAGCATCCAGGTCTTCTACCATCTGAAATATTAAGCTTTTAAGAAGTTAATTAATGCTGCGGCCGTAGGATCACTATTCCTATGTCGAGCTTTCTGCGACAAAAGTCGCAGGCTCGACAAAAACTAGACATTGTCCACTCTTACACCAAATATAGTTGACCTTTTGCTTATACATTACATTGTAGTCGCCACCTCTGGATTGTAATATTTAGGACTAGCATTCTGTGACTTTCGTCTCAGGCTAAACAAAAATTCGTAAGAGTTCTGCGGAACACAGTGTCTCGCCTACTTTTGCTGTTAATCGCAGGCTCAACAAAAATGAGGAAAAAAATTAATAAAAATATTCCTCTCTATACTATCTTTGATTGTAAGTAGCTTCTGTCCAAGTTTGGTAAATATCCAGGACAATTTATGAATCTAATAAATGTTTTAAAAACTTAAACTGCAGACTGTATGTAATGTTGACTGGAAGTAAAACTAAGTCCATTTATAAGTAAACTACAGAAAAAATGGAACAAAATTTTATCAAAATTTCCTTCTAGATACTAGCTTTTGATCATAAACAAGCTTCTGTCCAAGTGTGGTACCAATCCAGGATAGTTTAAGAAAGTTGTTAAAATTTTAAAAACTTTAACCACAGAGTGAATGTAATGTTAACTGGCAGAAAAACTAAGTCCATTTATAAGTATCATACGGAAAAAATGGAATTTTTTTTTTTACAAAATTTACTTCTTGATACTATCATACTATCTTATGATCATAAACAAGCTTCTTTCCAAGTTTGGTAGAAATCCAGGATAGTTTAAGAATGTTATTAAAATTTCAAAAACTTTAACCACAGAGTGAATGTAATGTTTCCTGGCAGAAAACTAAGTCCATTTATAAGTAAAATACGGAAAAAATGGATTTTTTTTTTACAAAATTTACTTTCGAATATAATCTTATGATCATAAACAAGCTTCTGTCCAAGTTTGGTAAAAATCCAGGATAGTTTAAGAAAGTTATTAAAATTTCAAAAACTTTAAACCACAGAGTGAATATTTGTGGACGCCGACGCCGCCGACACCGATGGAATGTAGGATCGCTATGTCTCGCTTTTTCGACAAAAGACGAAGGCTCGACAAAAATGATTTTTTAGGCAAAATAAAGTTGACCTTAAGGAACTGATGAAAGGACCTATGCATGGAATTTTAACAATGATAGTTCAATCATCACACCTGTTGACTGATATTTAAAACTTAAAAGGATTTGAAAACATGGAAAATCAACCTGGTTCTTTTAGTCATTGATATTATTGATCTCAGTATGAAAACCAAATACTGATCAATAAACAGAATTGTTCTTTCCCTACAACACTGTCAGCTTGGCACGTTCATCTTGCAATGATTCTACTGACTGGGTATAGTGGGTTTTTATTATACAGTTACTTGGAACTGACATAAGAGAGAGAACCTAGCACTGACTGTAGTTAGTCACCATGAAAACAATGTCTACAGTTGACATATGCCAGATTAAAGCTTCAGACAATAATTTAAGCCATCTATAGTGTAATATGCCACAGCCAAGATAAAAACAAGTTTACTTGTTTTAGATTTTATCTTACTGTTTAGTCCACTAAGTTAAACATACAATACAGGACATTTTAAGTTTGCCATCTTTTTTATAGGCTGCTCTTCATTGTAAGATGCCAAATAATAAAGTTTAGATGTTAATCTTTTTTCCCAGTGGACCCCAAGGGTTGACTGGGGTATAGAAATATGGTCAACCCTGGACTACTCCTGTCTGGCAGTAAAACCCTTGCTAAAGTGGGGTGTCATTTGGCTGTGTGAGATGAAAAATATGCTGCCACATTCAATGAAATCTGAATATTGAAGTGTACGCAATATCATTTTCATTGAAATCCTAGCACAAAGAGATGTTCTTTTTTCAATTTGGGATTCTTTAACAAAAACAGCTTACAGATTTTGCCCCAAATTTCCACTTGCAGCAAATTTGTCACAAGGAATAATTTTAGAATAGCATATATTAATTTTTGTTGAAATCCTAGCAAAAAAGAGGTTTCATTTTTTCCCAAATATCACAAATATCAAATAGACATTCCTTTTATAGATTTAAACACTGTGCTTAAACATTAAGAAAATAGGTTAGGTATGACATAGAAATGCTGAAAAAGGATGGAAAGACAAACGGACAGGAAGAGTGATTACATTAGGTCACTAGTCTGCAGAGACCAAATGAAGGAAAAAGAAATTTAGCCATAAATGACAAAGTAAATAAAGAAACAAGTTGAATGAAAATACATTTTATACAGACATCTGTATAAAGATGGATTCCAATATGGCAGTTTTGATATGAAATAAAGTAAATGGTCCAATTTTTATTCATCAAATAACAATGTGAATTACATAACAAACATGATTTCATATTTTAGTATGATATAAAAAAAAAACATTTTAATTCTGATTATATGTATAACAAATTAATAATTCAGATGACAACTCTACATATGGTTTACATAGATTTTTATGCAATTAACAAATGTGTTGAGATATTTTATAACTTGACTGAGTAAAACTTGTTAATAATAGTGCTATACTAGAACATAAGAATACAAGTAGTGTAACTTGCCAAGGTAGACAATTCTTCAAATTATTTCACAGAATATGTAACAGCTGACATAAAACTTAGTTACATTCTCTTGAAGGTCCAATATGCTTACTTTCACTTAAATACAGCACACTGTCAACTTATTTATTTTAATGGGTTCAAATTTTGTGGATTGAGGTAAAATAGTAATTTGGTGGATGCTAGATTTTATGTTACAAATTTTGCAAAATAAATCTAAAGACTCAATAACTTCTTAGGCACTAATGTTTATTGTTGTGCAGAATTTTTTACTTAATTAGCCAAGAACAGGTAATTTCTTGCATCAATACCAGTTTAAATTATTTTACAGCTGTATCATAAATCATAAATTCACACATTTGTCTTTTGCTTTGTTAAATCCTGATTACACTATCCTGACACACACAATCTTACGATAAATTAGATTTTACTGTAAAACCAAATAAAAAAATCTCTTTCCTAACTTAAAAAAGGACAAATTTCGTTCTTGGATAAAACAAGATTTTACTGCAAATAAAAAAGGAGTAGGTCCGGTAAGAGCCGATTTGGCCTCAAATTTCAGGTTCATCTGATGAAAGATTTTGGACACTTTTTAAACACTTAGGTGTTTACTTAAGTCGATTCAATTAGTTTATGTGAAAGATTTGAACTGATTTTATCATTAAAGGCGCTCAAATTCAAGCTTAAATATGAAAAATCTATCAAATATGCCATAATATGTCATTTTTCAGATAGTTTTTGTCAAAAATGAGAGTGGCCGCATCCGTGTTCACTCTCAACCTTTATATATGTTATGTATTATCATCAAATACAACTTACATTTAAATATTAAGAATGAACACAAATGCGGCCACATTCATTTAAGATGGAAACCTTCTAAAATTTAACTAAAATGCTAAAATTGTGAAAATTTCAGTAATTTAGCATGACTTAATGATGCTAGTACATGTACCTATATATGTGCATTGTATTGTCAAAAACAGCCCATATTTATATAGCAGAAGTATTCTACTTTCCAATTAATAGCTAAAAGTTTAAATTTTAACAATTTTGTAAAACTGCTATATTTTGGGGCCTCAAAGGTGTCTTACTGAACCTACTCCTTTGTTAAAAGAGTTAAGTGCAGTTGCTCAGTTAGTAATCACTAATTGAATAAAGCACTACGATTAGAATTATGAGTTATGATGGTAAATGCAGCATGATGGAATGATTGACCACATATTTTGCTTGTAACTGACAGTCATGAAAACTATGGCCACAGTTTAACAAGATACCAGTTGTCTACTATATTTTTTTATTTTGACCAGTAACTAATCAGTGAACTTCACTAATAAATGTTGGTGCCAATTCGTGGAAAGTATCAGCTGTCCAACGTCCATTTGATATCATTCCAAGTAAGACAAAACTATAATTAATAAGGAATCAAAACTATATTTTGTCTAATTTTATATGCTGTCACTATTGAATAGTTCATACTTTGTATACAAAATGTTTCAACAGAATGTGTGTCGTTTATAAACATGGTGATGATTTACAATTAAGAAAAAAGATTTATGCTATAAAATTAATAACTTACAATTTTCATTTACATGGATATATGAAATAAAATATTTGAATTTAAAACATTGCATTAAATTAGGTTTAATGGAGAAAATCCTTTTGATAGAATATTAGCAGCAGTTTCCTAATTTTTTTCAAGGATAATTGGTTAAATATATTCTTGTAATGAGACATTCATTACCTGCCGGAGAAAGGTTAAAACATTAAAATCCATTTTGTAAAATCCTCATGGCTGACAAGATTATTTGGTTTCTGTTTGAATGACTAACTAGTATTCAGATCAAGTACTGTAGACTCATTTATTTTCATGGATATCATATTTTGTGGTTTTGCCAAAGTCTACACACATTCCTACAGAAAATTAATAAATTGTTGAACACTTATTAAAATCTGTGGTTCCCTTGTACCCACAAAATACAAGAAAATTGGTATCCAATGAATAATAATGAAGCCAGAGTATGCTTGATAATCATAATACAATACCATGTTTCACTATTAAATCATATTCAAACCTTTTTTTAAGGACAACAAATCTTATATTCATCTATCATAAAAAAAATTTCATCTCCAAATTCTCAATAGAAGCAAAATTACCTCAATTATGATTAACTTTTTTTTAACAACTTTCATGTCCTATATACATAGTATCTACCCCATATCCTTCTAATAAACTCAATGTATTCAGTTGAGATATTATGACACATGAAAGTATTAAAGCACTACAAATTTTACCACAATACCCGTTTAACAATGCCTAATAAATAAGTTATAAAAGGTTCTCATCATGTAAAGTAGCATCTGATTGTTTTAATATTTTTTTCATTCACATGAATGAAAGAGCAAAAAGACTCAAACTACAAACTTTGGACGGAACTATTTTCATCTAGGGACGGAATAAAAAAATAAAACCAGATTAGCAACACTTAATGAATAAGTTATAAAGGGTTTTAAAAATATAAAATAACATCTGTTTTTGAAAATTTTTTTCACTCACATTTTATGGTAGATATTATAAATGAAAGACCAAAAAGACAAATTATAATCTTTGGACGGAACCATTTTGGTTGAGGGACGGAATCAAAATTAAATATCTAAAATGTAGTATGTTAGGCTTATACAAAAAAAATTTTAAAACTGGAATATAAATAAATTACTTTATAATCTTTCCTAAACTCTTTAAACTAATCTTTCATGACAATATAATGTTGTAACAGATCCGTATATAGTGTCAAAAAATCAAAAAATCTTTTATATTTTGGGGAATATTTTCCAAACCATTGTCTTGAACAATGAACTACAACAATCAAATTTTAGGGTACTATACAAAAAACAAATAAATAAGAAAACAAAAACTAATTGCTGTAAAGTATTGAAGAAGTTACAAAAAGCTTAACTACATATGTAAATCTACAAGCAAAGCAAATACAAATGGAATTTTTATACTAGAAAATGATTGTCTAATTCTTGCAAAATGCAAAACAGTTTAAATATTAATTTTTCAGAGTCAAATGTAAATTTATCAAATGTATAAAAAAGACAAGAATATGAATGCATAGGATACCAAGCCCTGCTAACACTATCAAATTTCAATTTTCTGTGAAATGGATTTCAACCCAAACTTGGCTGTACATATTTTAAAAAGTTTTCATTATCATGAACAACTGTACAAAAACTCGACTTCTTCAACATTCTTCTTCTTGGTAAACTATCTCACACCAATATTTTAATCTGATATGGTACAAAGGCAGTTGATGGACTAACACACAGATGCATGCACAGACCTTAACATGTGATGCCCCTACCCATAGTAGGTGGGACAGAAAGACCGAAAGACAGATTTTATACAATTAAAGAAATGATCATTCAATTTAACTTTAATTCCCAACTTTAGGGAATTTTATACACAAAACATTTAAGATATACATGTTTTAGGCCATACCAATGCTATTCTATGGTTTAAGTCAAAATTTTTAACAAGAAGGAAAAATTCATTATTTTTCACTTTTTTTAAAGATCCTTTAATTTGCAACAAAACAGTCAGAGGCTAGGTAAGGATAATTTAACAGTCAGAGGCTAGGTAAGGATAATTTAAGTCAGAGGCTAGGTAAGGATAATTTAACAGTCAGAGGCTAGGTAAGGATATTTTAACAGTCAGAGGCTAGGTAGGGATAATTTAACAGTCAGAGGCTAAATAAGGATAATTTAACAGTCAAATGCTAAAAAAGGATAATTTAACAGTCAGGGCTAGGTAAGGATAATTTAACAGTCAGAGGCTAAATAAGGATAATTTAACAGTCAGAGGCTAGGTAAGGATAATTTAACAGTCAGGCTAGGTAAGGATATTTTAACAGTCAGAGGCTAGGTAAGGATAATTCAACAGTCAGAGGCTAGGTAAGGATAATTCAACAGACAGAGGCTAGGTAAGGATAATTTAACAGTCAGATCTTCACTCTTATCCCTACTTGCCTAAAATTAGGGTTATTTTGACCTTAACACACTCTAAACACTTGTTTATTGTTGAAGAACATATGTTGACCTCTAGATGTCGATTGGTTTTTTGTGTTGTTGGGTTTCTGGAAACCTTTACCCCACATCTCAATTTATCAAAAACAAATTTATTGCAGTTTTTGACATTATGCTTAAAAGTTGAAAATCTCTAGACTGCATTTTATTATGAACAAACATTATATCTATATATAAATAAAATACTGGTATGAAAAAGTAAAATGCACAATGTCAATTTCATTGGAATGTAATGATATAACTACATATAAAGGACAGTCATTAATATGTGTTCATTGCAAACAGATAAAACTAAGGGCAGTTTTACAAAAACATACATAGGAACAAATGAAGGCACTTCAAATTCTCAATTATGGGTGGTGGTCAAATACTTTTTTGTATAGTGAATATATAGGATAAATACTAAAATTGCCTCCATATTTGGTAACCCCTTTTCCTTTAATGGACCAGCCCTATAAATTTAAAAACTTTATTTGTTTGCCTGTGTTCTTAGAGATCATATTTTTTTCAGATAACTAAATATTTTCCTCTGTAAAAAGGGTAGTCAGATTACCAACAAGATGTTTTTGCAAAGGGAAACAACTCCAAGGTAGGACAAACTGGGTTCCTGCCTATACAACGAAAATGGCCAAAACGTGGTGTAATGTGGGGGATCTGACAATATTGATGATTTTGTAAGTGCATCACACATATATGGTAAACAGGACATTGCAAAATAGGTGGTTACAGAATAAATCTTAACAGGTATCATACATCAAGCTATTATTCTAATATAATATGCATATCTACAAATACTTGAATATAATTGGTTGGTGATATTTTTCCCCTATGGTTGACAACTCGATAGACCTTGTTGCCTAAACCATTTTTCTTGCTTATGTGTTCACTGTGATTTATTCATGAGCAAAACACACAAATGGAATCATCAGCTTCAAAAATATTTGAAAAAGATCTCAAATGTTTGGGTTGTGAACTATATTGATTAAACAAATATTTTCTAGCAGTAATTTATGTCTTAACTGGGCCTCTTGACTCACAAAATTTACAAAAACTTCTTCAGACTTTTATTCAGTAGATGAGTTAATCTGTCCAAGTTTACACATTAATGACTTCTAGTAAAAAGTGTTTGATCCTATAATGGTCATATCGTAAGGTTTACATTGACAGGGAACAGTCTATCCAACCTAGGAGTTATCTCCCTTTGCCAATATTTTCTAATTTGAAAACAAAATGGGTAATTTTAAAATTGAGTCCTTGCAAATATTTTTCTGTACAGTAATCTAATTTTGTCCTTTGAATACAGGTTATTTTTGTAGACAAGACAATAAAAAAGTACATTACTTAAAAATAGTAAAATAATATTTTTGCATAAAACATAGAAAACATTAATAATTCATAAAAATGCAATACAAAATTACAACAACCTCACAAGAGGTCTTTTGATAAATATAATAGAATGAAACAAATAATGTGTACAAAAATAAGTTACAAACATAATTTAAAACTTATATTTATAAAATATCATCCTTAAGTAGGAGTTATACTAGCTATAACAGATTGGTTTGGTTTTACTTAGATAGGTCAACACAAAAGAGACTAGTTCAATCTTCTACAGAAAATGATTAGATAACTTTTGTAAAACTATAACAATACTATTGCCGTAGACTGATTTTAAAGTTAAATTGAAATCAATTTTCTTAATGAATAAAATTTTGGATGAATCAAGTAATGTTCTTCAAAACATTAAAAAAAATGTTGTTTCTGTGGAAGAATAAATGAGTATTAGCTTTTCTTCTTTATTTTTTATGCATAATCAACTCTTTATCTTAATCAAATCAGTTCCTTAAAATTCTTTGAAACATTAAAGAAAATGTTTCTGTGAAAGAATAAACGAGTATTCTTTTTTTTTTTTTTATGCATTATTCGACAAACACCAAAAATAGAGTTGTTATTCATTGTTGAATCTGCCTGCTGAAAACATTTCATATGATGGTGGGGGTGCTGAAGCTTCAACATGTTCATGATTTCCTATTGGAGGTAGAGCTCCATTTCTTTCTAAAGGAGGCAGCTTATTACTCCTCTGATCCAAGGAAGGCAACCGACTGCTAGATGTATTTCCATTTGACAATGAAGGCAACTGTCCATTTCTGTCTCTTGGTGGTTTTTCTGTTAACAGCTTAAAATAAAATGAATATACTTGTACTTGTAAAATAAAATTCATATACTTGTTCTTGTTGTAAAATAAAATGCATATACTGTACTTGTAAAATGAAATGCATAGACCTGAACTTGTAAAATAAAATGCATAGATTTGTATGTGTTGTAAAATAAAATGCATAGACTTGTATTTGTTGTAAAACAGAATGCATATAATTGTATTTGTTGTAAAATAAAATGTTCAAACTTGTACTTGCTGTAAAATAAAATGCATAGACTTGTAAATGTGCATACTTTGAATTTTAAAATCAAAAATGCAGTCTTGTACTTGTTGTAAAATGAAAAGGCATACTCGTACTCGCTGTAAAATAAGATTTGTGTTCTTGTACTTGTACGTGTAAAATAAAATGCATATACTTGTAATTAATGTGAAATAAAATGCATATACTTGTACTTGTAAATTATAATGAAAAAACTTGAATTGTGAAATTAAATGCATAGACTTGTATGTGCTGTAAAATAAAATGCATAGACTTGTACTTGTAAAACAAACTGCATAGAATTGTACTTGTGAAATAAAATGCATAGACTTGTACTTGTAAAATATAATGAATATACTTGAAATGTTGTGAAATTAAATGCATATACTTATACTTGTGAAAAAAAATGCATATACTTGTACTTGTTGTAAAACAGAATGCATATAATTGTACTTGTAAAATAAAATGCATATACTTGACTTGTAAAAAAATGCATAGACTTGTACTTGTTAAACAGAATGCATAGAATTGTCTTTGTAAAATAAAATGTGCATACTTATACTTCCTGTAAAATAAAATGCATCAATTTGTACTTGTTGTAAAACAAAATGCATAGAACGGTACTTGTAAAACAAGAGGCTCTCAAGAGCCTGAATCGCTCACCTGTATTTCAGAGAAGATTTTTAAATGTTAGCAAACTTGATGAACAAATTGTGTAAAATTGTCTTTAAAGGGCAATCACTCCTTAAGGGGTCAATTGACAATTTTGGTCATATTAACTTTTTTGTAGATCTTACTTTGCTGAACATTATTGCTGCTTACAGTTTATATATATCTATAATAATATTCAAAATAATAACAAAAAACTGCAAAATTTTTTTAAAACTACCAATTCGGTGGCAGCAACCCAACAATGGGTTGTTCGATTCATCTGATAATTTCAGGGCCGATAGATCTTGACCAATTAAACAATTTTACCACATGTCACATTTGCTCTAAAAGATTTAGTTTTTGAGATATAAGCCAAAAACTGCATTTGACCCTTATGTTCTATTTTTAGCCATGGCGGCCATGTTTGTCGATGGATACAAACTTCGGATACAATTTATAAACAAGATACCCTAAGGAACATTTAGTTAAAGTTTGAAGGTAATTGGCCCAGTAGTTTCAGAGGAGAAGATTTTTAAATGTTAGCAAACTTGATGAACAAATTGTGTAAAATTGTCTTTAAAGGGCAATAACTCCTTAAGGGGTCAATTGACAATTATGGTCATATTAACTTTTTTGTAGATCTTACTTTGCTGAACATTATTGCTGCTTACAGTTTATATATATCTATAATTATATTCAAAATAATAATAAAAAACTGCAAAATTTTGTTAAAACTACCAATTCGGTGGCAGCAACCCAACAATGGGTTGTTCGATTTGTCTGAAAATTTCAGAGCTGATAGATCTTGACCAATTGAACAATTTTACCCCATGTCAGATTTGCTCTAAAAGATTTAGTTTTTGAGATATAAGCCAAAAACTGCATTTGACCCTTATGTTCTATTTTTAGCCATGGCGGCCATGTTTGTCGATGGATCAAATTTTCGGATACAATTTATAAACTAGATACCCTAAGGAACATTTAGTTAAAGTTTGAAGGTATTTGGCCCAGTAGTTTCAGAGGAGAAGATTTTTTAAATAGTTTACGACGACAGACGACGACGGACGCCAAGTGATGGCATAAGCTCACATGGGGCCCTTCGGGCCCCGGTCAGCTAATAAAATGAGCAAACTTGTACTTGTACAATACAAATGCATAGTCTTGTACTTGCTCTAAAATAAAATGCATATACTTGTACTTGCAAAATGAAATGCATAGACAGTACTTGTTGTAAAATAAAATGCATATACTTGTATGTGTTGTGAAATAAAATGCATATACTTGTACTTGTTGTAAAATATCATGAATATACTTGTACCTCTTAAATTTTATTCTAATTCCAATCTAATAAAATATGATCTAATATAGATGTTTGGAGACATCACAATTTAATATAACTCGGTCAACTTATAAATCAGGCAAAATAAATATCGTTTGTTTTCTGTCAGATGTTGACATAACTAGGGTTGGTAGAAAGGAAGTTTTATTATTTACTTTTTTGACAGTGATTCTTTTGGGGTGACTATGTGACTTGAACATTCCTTTAGGGTTAAAGGACAAAAAGTTCCGGGTAAAAATATGGGTAGGTTGGTGACAGTAAACACTTTGCATCTTGTCCTTATAAATATATTGGACATGGAAGCAAATCTAATCAGTTGGTTTAAGTTAATGTACTTGATTTATACAATATACCTTTGAACTGAACACTGTAAATTCAGAAATTATTGCGTGCATTTATTATTGCGATTTTTAAAGAATGAAAAAAAATGCAAGATTAATTATTGCGATTTCAGATAAAACTGCATAAAGATATATGTATCAGATATAAGAATGCGAGTTGTTGTCATTGCGATTCCTACCCAGTCGCATTAATAAAAACCTCGCAATGATTTCTGAATTTACAGTAGCAAACAATTACAAATTATGTAGTTGCCTTACTGTTTGATCTGGTCGACTACTACGTCTGTCTGTCACAAACAGACCCTGTAGGTCAGGACCATGGACATTCATTGTTTCTCCTACTTCATATGGACTATTGGCATCTGCTTCCTTTTCTGTGCCATCCATCATTCCAATCTAAAATGTCATTCATGTTTTATTATAGTAATGAGAAGGAAGTGGAATAAGAAGTTCTACATACAGTCAAACCTGTATTAAGAGACCACTCAGAGTAGAAGATAAAAGTGGTCTCTTGATTACAGGTTCCCACTTTTGACTAGAAAGAACCATCCATTATGCATAAATTTTTGCACGTACAAATGTAAGTGAAATATACTGTAGTGGTCTCATTGTATTTGTTATGAATAATAAAATAGCACTATGAAACAGTCTGTTACTTATTTTATATATCTTAATTGTATTTTTTGCCTCAAGAAAAGTTCCTTGTTGTATTAGTCCAGTCTCATCCATGATCATCCATGTAATTATATTCTAGGATGTATTCCATTTACATATTCTTCCAGTTTTTAACAACACCTTTATAAATGGCCTAGCAATATCATACAGTTGACCATGACAATATTGTTTCTTATGACCCTAACCATTGATTCAATACTCTGAATTCTGTATGGATTCCTTATTATTCGTAGGATACCAATTTCTGTGGACTTTAAAGGTAAAGGTGAACCACAAATTTTCTTTAGGCTTTTATTCACTCTTTGGCAAAATCATGAAATCAAATTTCCATGGAAATACAATTTTACCATTTCTCCTCAATCCATGGAAATAAATTAATCCACAGTAGTCTTAGTTAAATTCATTCCCAATTTTCTAGACTGAGTGTACTTTAGAGCTTGACCTATTGTATAGACACTTGTTAACCAAGACAAATGTTTTGGTTTAACTTAAAAGTCATTCAACAATAAAAGACACTTACTTGTGTAGTTTTTATATGGTAAGGGAAATTTTTGTTAGCAGCTCCTGGTCTTGTTATTAACTGAAACAGAAAACAGCCATGGTCAACTATATTTTTATTAGAAATGGACATTTACTAGAAATATGGTTACATAAACAGACTGTCATTTTCAAAATATGGTTTATAATTGTGTCAGACTGTAACAAAACAAAATTATTACATGCACACAGTGCTTTAATATGAAATATATATCAGAATTGTCAAGCAGTGAAACACTTTTGACATCAGTAGCTCAAATCCTAAAGAATCTTAATATCAACTGAAAATCATGCTATCCAAGTCATTTATGAAGTTTTTTACAGGAATTATATTTTATCTGGAACAGTAGTAGTCAATGGCATGGAGATTTGGGTTTCAAACAGTCGAAAAGTGCTGAAATCATCAGAAAGCTTTTTCTACTACTTTAATCAAACCTTGTTGTTTCAAATTCAGTTATGTTGACTCAAGGTATTTTTTCAATTTCGATTAATTTCTCATTTGTTCAATTCATATTTAAAAACTTAGATAACGAGTTATTATCTCAAGTATATTATGAAGTCCCTTTGCAGAATCAGAGAACTTTTTAGCTCTAGGCCAAATGATGGCAATGCTTTCACTTATCAGTAATATTTCCCAAAAATAATTTAACTTCACATGTTTCCATTACACAGAAAAATATATTAAAATTTTTTGCTCAATCTAAATCTTAGGAGGGGGCACTTACTATGTAATGAGTGGTAGGGATGAGTCACTAGAATAGGTCACTTTTTAAAGCTTCATGATCTATGATAAGGTCAATAAATTCAGATGAAATATATGATAAGGTTGCAATTGAATTAGAAGTATCTGAAATTAATCAGATGTTGATTTTTTCTCAGATGCAATGAAAAGTACAGTTGTAATTGCATCAGATATTTTTCCAATCTATTTATCTCTCCATGAAAAGCTTAAGCATGATAGCCATAGGTAAATTTTTTGTTAAAAAATATATAATAGGGTTAAAATCGTGTTTTTCAACATATATGAAAAGGGTGGGGTACTATATCTCTCAGCTGCTTGCCCCCCTCTATCATCCCTTTTGCATTTTTGTAAAGATATAAAATATAAAGGAAAAGTCCTTTTATTGTCAGGGTAGGAGGAACAATTTGAAACATTCTGATATGATTTTTTTTTTTTTTGACAGATTTTACTTAAACATGTAAAATGAGGTATCTGTAAACCATGATGACAAACTCAGAAATACGCTATCTTCTAACTAAAATTTGTAATTTGTATTTCATAGGGAGCTCCATTTCAGGAATACGCTATGGGGTTGTTCCAAACTTAATAAATATACATCGGTCACTAGGATCCATCATGGAAAAATTTCTATTTACATCTATACACTGACTGGGCCACACTTAAGTATGAGCCTTGCTTTTCTTTCTATTTCAAAAGCTCACATAAATGATTTTCATATTTTCCAACAAAGTAGGTATATTTGTGCCTATATATAACTACACTTACCAGGAAAAATACATGTCCACAAATTGTAACAAAGTTTGAAACACCAGTGACCGTCTGCTCTCTGACCCACAGATTAATAACAAACATAGCAATAAGTATGGTGATAGGACCAGCCCAAAACCTGTAACAGATAAATATTATATATAAGTTTGAAACTCAAGTGAACATCTGCTCCCTGACCACAGATTTATAACAAACAAAGAAATAAGTATGGTGATAGATCCAGCCCAAAACCTGTAAAAGATAAATATTATATAAGTTTGAAATACAAGTGAACATCTGCTCTCTGACCACAGATTTATAATAAACAAAATCAAAGTGCTTGTAAGAACTGAAGGGTAAAGATTGCTTTCATTTTGCAATTTTGTGAATTTTTAATAAAGTGCTTCGCCAAGCACAGCTGGATAAGACCGCAGAGGTCCAACCCTGAACAGTTAGGGCAAAAATGGACACAATATTCAAGCTTGATACAGGTCTGAACTTGGATTGTAATTAAATATTTGACACATTATAGGTTTCTGACACAGAATAAATCTAGTCAAAGTACTTGAAATTGGTTATATGATTTGAATTTATATTCAATTGAAGATTTCTTGCTGTTGTGCAATACACTGTGCTGTTGCGCAATACTAAGTAAATCTGTTTTCAGACTATATACAAAGAATTAGCAAAATAAATTTTGACCCCGAATTTTATTTTTTGGAAAATTGATAATTTCTTAAATCTTGCTGAAAAAAAAAATGACGACAACAACGACGACATGATAGCATTATATGAACGCAAATTTTTTTCAGTTGAATTGTGTATTGCTAGGAAAGTTAACAATTTGAGTTGGAGTTATCTTCCTTTGTTCATGATCATACATTTGTAGTTGAACCTATTTTTATAACAGATTCATACACCATGCATTACTTATGTAATTTTTTTATAAAAAAAATGTTTTCTTGACAAGTATGGTTATTCAAATACAAATCATATTGAAACTTAAATATCAAGGTATAACATATCATCAATAAATTGCATGACATTGACTGGATAGGATCTAAATAATGATCATTTCACTGCACTATTTTGTTTGAAATATCAAAGGTAGCGATCAACCTTGGAAAAAAAAGATATCAAGTCAGTACCATTGGGTTTTGATTGCATTTCATGCAATCTTTACCCTAAAAAAGTCCAAAACCTGTAAAAGATAAATATTATAAGTTTGAAACAGCAGTGACCGTCTGCTTTCTGACCCACAGATTAATAAAAAAACATAGCAATAAGTATGGTGATGATAGGACCAGGACAAAACCTGTAAAAGATGAATATCTTTAGTTTGAAACACCAGTGACTGTCTGTCTGCTCTCTGACCCACAGATATATAACAAACATAGAAATAAGTATGGTGATAAGGCCAGCACCAAAACCGAAAAGGAATAATAATTAATTTCAGATTTTTTGCATGCTTTTGTTATTGCTATTGTTGGACAATGGACAAAAAATGTGAAATTAATCATTGCGATCTCTGGAAGTGTTCGATATATATAATGCGATCAAAATTTTACTTTTGTGAAACCCAGGACCAAGTATACCTTCACAATTATTGCAATAATAAAAACATTGCGAATTTCTTATATGAAGTTTTATGTTCAGATCACTGAAAAGCTTACGAATTAGAGTACAGGAAGACAATAATTCAATTACAGTACATTTCCTGAATATTTGGAACAAATAATAAAAACATTGCGAATTTCTTACATGAAGTGTTTTCTGTCATAAGAAAGTATATTTACACGTTTCATAACAAAAATTAGACATTCAGCTATTTAAACATTTTCATCTGTTTTGCTAAATTTTAACGATCATATGACTTTGAGTATTGTTGCAGATACAAAGAGAAAACAAGAATCAGATGAAAAAAGACACAAAATGATCACCATTTTTCACAATAATTGCAATAGTGATATCAAACAAATCAGACCACTTGTTTGGATATTTACTAATATAAAATTACCTCTAACATGTCTCATATTAAATTCTATAGGGATCTTACATGCCAATAGGAATTTTTAGAGACAGGCAATTCTTTACACTTACCATAATGTATAATAAATAAAGAATGGGATGTAGAACCAGGTTTTCCTGGAGTGTGTTACTAAGTTAACAATGAGAGAAACACAAAAGAATGTCCATCCAACCAGTCGGAGGGCTATCAGTCCATAACCAGCTGGACTCTCATAGATGTACAAAACTTCTCCTGGGTCAAACACCTGCAATATAAAAAAACCTGTCATAACAGAACTTTGTATCACTAGACACACTTAATATTTAGAATAAACAGCAAAATAAGTTAACTTTAACATGTAAATGTAATTATTTTACATTTATTTTCAACAACAAAAATAGATAATCAAATTATTGTAGATCATTAAAATGATATCTTGCAGAAATATTCTTTTTATTTATTGAAAAATAAAAGATTTGGTGATGTGTCAGAAGAACAAACTAATTGGTGTAAATATTGATTTTGTAATCAGTAAATTAAAACCATACTAAATAATACACATATGTACTTTCATGGTACTACAATATGTCGATACTTATAGTTTGGCATTGCACAAGGTCATGTTTTTCTCTGACTGTTAATGACGTCTTTACACTAAATTCATTGGATGTTGGATGTGTATACTGATTGATATTTCAGTCTTAGATACATATTTTTTTTCATTAGGTTTTATTGGCTTTGAACTAGCTGTAAGTAACTGTGAGTACTCTTAGATATGTACTTAGTGTCTTTTTGTTTTTGGGATGTATAAGTACCCGTCCACGTCCACTTTGTGGTTTTGTTAGATGTATTTCTATTTGTATCCATCTGATGAGTTAAGCCTTTTTCAACTGATTTTTATAGTTTGTTCTTATGTTGTACTGTGACACCACTGTCCCAGATTAGGGGGAGGGTTGAGCGCTCACAAACATGTTTAACCCCGCCACATTCTATATGTGCCTGTCCCAAGTCAGGAGCCTGCAGTTCATTAGTTGTCGTTAGTTCATGTCTGTCATATTTGTTTTTCATAAACTGTTTTGTTATAAATTAGGCTGTTAGTTTTTTCAATTGAATTGTTTCAGATTTTTCATGTCGGGGCCTTTTATAGCCGACCATACAGTATAATTTTTTTTAATGTTGAAGGCGGTACGGTTGCCTATAATTGCTTACATCCACTTCATTTGAACCTTAGTGGATAGTTGTCTCATAGCTGAAAAAGTAAGCTAAATGAGAGAGTCACATAATGCTCAGGAGTCGGTTTCACAAAAAATTTACGACTAAGATTTGTCGTAAGTCATGAATAATTAAGTATACTTACGATAAATCTTAGTCGCAAGTTTTTATGTGAAACCGACTCCAGATTTTGAAGAAGATTTTTTTTTGCTATGGACAGGGAATAATGAGACAATATTAGCTTACCTCTGCTTCATATACAAACAGAATTGCATACGTCAGTGTGAATATACTAAAGAACACTGCAAGGACAATGTATAATTGGGTGGAGAGCTTTCCTCTAACTATAGTATAACCATTAGCCATCAATATCAACATCAGAACAAACATTATGTCACTCATAGCTTGGAACAAACGGCCTGAAAATAACAAAAATATTACATATAGTATGTATTAAATATTAAGTGAATGTTTGAAGCTAAAAATGACAAAAATACTACAAATGTCTTATGTCTATAAGAATAAACTGCTTCGCTGAGCGCAGCTGGATACGCCCGCAGAGGTCCAACCCTGAACAGTTGGGGCAAAAATGGACACAATATTCAAGCTTGATACAGGTCTGAATTTGGATTGTAATTAAATATTTGACATATTATAGGTTTTCTGAATAAATCTAGTCAAAGAACTTGAAATTGGTTATATGAATTGAATTTATATTCAATTAAAGATATCTTGCTGTTGTGTAATACACTGTGCTGTTGCGCAATACTTAGTAAATCTGTTTTCAGACTATAAACAAATAAAGTTCAATTAATTCTCAATGTCATATTAGAAATTTATGAAAATCAAAAGGGAGCTTACATCAATAGATATAAACAATTTACCAAATTTTCATGAGAATTGCTGACAGCATTTTTGAGTTATTGTCCGAAAACTGGAAAATCCCCCCTTTTTTAATGAATAAAACCCCCATAACTCAGAAATGTAAAATGTAAATTTTATAAAATTCTAAAGGGAGCTTACATCAATAGATATAAACAATTCACCAAAGTTTCATAAGAACTGCTGAAATCATTTTTGAGTTTTTGTCCAAAAACTGGAAAATCCCCCCTTTTTTATGAATAAAACCCTGTAACTCGGAAACGTAAAATCTAAAATTTATAAAAATCAAAAGGGAGCTCAGGTCAATAGATATTAACAATTCACCACAATTTCTTGCAAGTTGGTGAAAGCATTCTTGAGTTATTGTCCGAAAACTGGAAAATCCCCCTTTTTTTAATGAATAAAACCCCATAACTCGGAAACGTAAAATCTAAAATTTATAAAAAACGAAAGGGAGCTCACGTCAATAGATATAAACAATTCACCAAAGTTTTATGCAAATTGGTTAAAGCGTTTTTGAGTTAATGTCCGACATGTTGACGACGGACGGACAGACGGACGGACGGACGGACAGACGGACAACGGTATACCATAATACGTCCCGTAAACGGGCATATAAAAATAAAAACAAAACCAAAACTGTGTCTGAATTTACCTGGCACCCTGCTGTTTTGAAGAACTGCCTCCAGTGCCAAAAAAAAAATGAAATATTTTTAAGTGTAAGAATTTCATCAATTGTCACTGGTGCAACCAATCAAAATGGAAGAATAAAACAACAAATAATGGTCTTATCTTTATAGCAATAAAGCCTGATATATTAAAGGAGTAAGTTTGGTAAGGGCCAAATTTGGCCCTGATTATTAAGTTCAATGTTTCAGGATAAAATGTGTTTTAAGTTGATGAAAAGACATGTGAGAAAGTTATATAGAACTATTTTTGCCAGAGTTTTATTTTTAAGCATTGATTTTGACAATAGGTTAAAAATAGAGATTTTTGCGAAATTGGACAAAATCGTCCGGATTTCAACCAAATTAAGACCTAGGAAACATAGAGCGCAGGCGTCGACAAACAAAATATTTAAGTCAGATATGTAAAATGTCATAACAAACATTAGGTTTAAATATCTTTGTTGTCGACGCATGCGCTCTATGTTTCCTCTCCAAAAAATCAACGTAAATTTACCCGTTTTCATCAATTTTTTGCGGAAAATCAAAATTAGTGCTATTTGTGACATCATGAATAGAACGCAAAAACATAAATTTTCAACAAAAAGACATTTTTCCAATCTAGTCATTATATAACCTATGATTCCTTGTGACATTGGTCAATAAATCCTAATTTCAGTTTCAGCTAGAATTAGGGGCCATTTTAGGGCCTTATCGAACCTACTTCTTTCATCAAGATTTGTATGATGTGTAGATGAACAAGAATGCAGGTGTTGTCATGCTTACCATACCCCTACTCTAAATTCAAAGTATCTTTTTCAACTGTTAGCTATGTGTAAGCAGTGTAGACATGAGGTTTAATACTAAATTAAAACATCAACTCCTGTTTCTCCAAAACCTGCTTCTACAAAGTTGTCTATTCTAATAACTAATATTCAAACAATTCAACAGGCAAGAGCAATAACTCTTATTTTACCTGCTAGCCATGTCCCTGTTTCTTCATAGCCTGTGTTGGCATATTTCCCCCATCCAATCGCCAATAAAAACAATCCAAAACAGTTTGTGTAGATACAAAAAATATACATTTTGTATGTTGTATGGAATAACTGTTGTGTATGTAATACATCTGAAAAGAGAACAAAAGGTAATTCTAAAGGTCATTTTAAAATTGTCTCATCAATAACACTACTGGTAACATAGTACTGTGGAATCATTTATTTTCGTGGGTACCAATTTTCGTGGATAAAGAAATCTTGCACTTTCGTAGATATTTCATTTCATGTTTTTGCCAAAGTCTGCATACCACCCAATAGAAAATTTGTAATTCTTGAACATTCAAATTAGTGGTTCACCTGTACCCACAAAATCCAAGAAAGTTGGTACCCCATAAAAAATAACAAATCTACAGAAGTTCTCCTCAGGTAATAATTCTCACAGTCATCAGTGTTCTCCCCAGAAATTTTGGATAGCATAACATCTGGCGAAAAAAAAAAGTATTTTTTTCAATGTCAATTGTCACTTTGCGGCGATGCTCTATTTCCTTTACGTAATGTTTATATTGTTCAATTCATAACTGATAATACAATTAGAGTATAGCAGTTGTTTCAGTTTAATTTTTAAATATTCATTTATAGTTACACAATTCTATTTTTCCTTTTGTCAGAAACTACCAACTAAATATCTAGTACAAAAAAGAACTTTTTGTATATCAAAAAAAAAGAAAGTATCATATATCAATAAAACTTCAATTAAATAAACTGGTATCACAGAGATATGTCTCCCCTTTTTGTAATTTAATTTTAATAATGCAAATTTTGAAATTAAAATAGCAATACTTTAACATGTAAGTTATGCAAATATTCAAAGTCGATGAACCATGACTGAAGGTACATGGCTAAACAATCTCCACGGAATGAGATGTGCCAATGCTAATACAACTGCATACCAAATACCATCGACTTATCATAAGTCGTTCCCTTTAAACAAACCTAAACACAAACATTAACTTGTAAACTCTGTAAAAGTTTCAAAGTCAATTAACCATGATCAGGGGTGGGGCTATATAATCTCCATGGAAACGATACTTGCAAATGCCAATAAATTTGCATACCAAATATCATTGACTTAACATTAGCAGTTCATCTTAAACTGATCTAATCACAAACTAATACATGTAAACTAAGCAAAAGTTTCAAAGTAAATAGACCATGACTGAGGGGCGGGGCCAAATAATCTCCATGGAAATGAGATGTGCTAATGTTTATTCAACTGAACATCAATTAACATTGGCCAACCACTAATGGTTCCCCTTGAACTGACCTAATCGCAAACTAATACATGTTAACTTAGCAAAATTTTCAAAGTCTATAGACCATGACTAAGGGGGCAGACCCAAATAATCTCTATGGAAATGAGATATGCCAATGCTTATACAACTGCATACCAAATATCATTGACCTACCACTAGTGGTTCCCCATAAATTGACCTAATCACAAACTAATACATGTAAACTATGAAAAGCTTCAAAGTCAATAGACCTTGACTGGGGGTGGGGGGGCTAAACAATCTCCATGGTAATGAGATGTGCCAATGGTAATACAACTGCATACCAAATGTCATTGACCTACCACTAGTGGTTCACCATGAACTAGACCTAATCACAAACTAATACATTGTTGACGCCGCCTCCGCCGTCGCTGGAAACAGCATACCTATGTCTTGCTTTTTGACTCCGTCAAGGCGAGACAAAAACTATTCTGTTTATCATATTCATTGTTTCCTGGGACTCAATTTGTTAGTGCCAGTTGTTTCTCATCAAAAACTAAAAGAAACAAAGTTAAGCCACTTCTGGGAGATTCCCAGGCTACTTTCAGTAAATTTAAACAATGCATTTACATAGAAATAAATACATTGAGTAAGGAGATCTAACAAATAGTCTGTTAATGTGTATGGAATGCATTGTATTCCCTTTTGGGATCATTATTATTCTGTCAGCTGTGTCTGTAGTTATTACCGTAAAAATGCAGATTTTTTTCATAGTTGGTCCGCCTCTGAAGAATCCCGCATCCGACTCGTAGTTTGTACAAATATTTTAATGGCGGTCAAAGAAAAATTAACGAAAATAAACAATGTTTGACAAGCGATTTGGAATGAATATGACGCTTTTTATGCAATAAATGGATGGGACATTAATTAAAGGCAATATTCATCACGTTCTAATGAAGAAGCAAGCTCATTTTGCCGAAATTCAGAATGTTTAATATACTCTCTCGGGTATAAACAAGTACGGAAAGAAAATAATTCTTCAAAAGTTGTTAGTTTGAGTTGAAATAACACAAGACCAATCACAATTTTCTAGAGAAATAAATCATTTATATCTTTGAATTTCTTTACTTATAAAAGAATAAAATGCTCCGCTGGGCACAGCTTGATACAACCGCAGAGGTTGAACCCTGAACAGTTGGGGCAAGTATGGATACAGCACTGAATTTGGATTGTGATTAAATATTTGACACAGCATAGGTTTCTGACACAGAATGAATGTGGTCTAAGAACTTAAAAAATTTTAATTTACCTATTCAAACCATATCATTATTATTTGCTTTTATATATAAATCAGAAATAACCAATTTAAAACGGAAAATTTTAAAGAAAAACTAGAGGCTCTCAAGAGCCTGTGTCGCTCACCTGTATTTACTGATGCTTTGGAAATCATGTAAAATAAGGTTGAAATCATAATTAATAGTATTAGATATTAGATATTATAATGATATCTAAGATAATAACAAAAAACTGCAAATTTTTAGTAAAATTATTAACTCAGGGGCAGCAACCCAACAACGGGTTGTTGGATTCGTCTGAAAATTTCTGGGCAGATAAATTTAAATCTGATGAACATTTTTGCCACCTGTCAGATTTGCTCTAAATGCTTTAGTTTCAGAGATATAAACCAAAAACTGCATTTTACCCCTATGTTCTATTTTTAACCAAGTCGGCCATGATGGTTGGAAGGTGGGGTCATCGGACAAATTTTTTAAACCAGATACCCTAATAATGATTATGGCCAAGTATGGTTAAATTTGTCTCAGTAGTTTCAGAGAAGAAGATTTTTGTAAAAGATTACAAAAATTTACAAAAAATTAGTAAAAATTGACTATTAAGGACAATAACTCCTAAAGGGGTCGACTGACAATTTTGGTCATACAACTTATTTGTAGATCCTACTTTGCTGAACATTATTGCTGTTTACAGTTTATCTCTATCTATAATAATATTCAAGATAATAACCAAAAACTGCAAAATTTCCTTAAAATTACCAATTCAGGGGCAGCAACCCAACAAGAGGTTGTCAGATTTGTCTGAAAATTTCAGGGCAGATAGATCTTGACCTGATAATCAGTTTTATCCGACCTCAGATTTACTCTAAATGCTTTGGTTTCAGAGATATAAGCCAAAATCTACATTTTACCCCTATGTTCTATTTCTAGCCATGGCGGCCATCTTGGTTGGTTGGCGGGGTCATTGGACACATTTTTTAAACTAGATACCCTAATGATGATTGTGGCCAAGTTTGGTTAAATTTGGCCCAGTGTTTTCAGAGGAGAAGATTTTTGTAAAAAGCTAACGACGACGACGACGGACGCCAAGTGATGAGAAAAGCTCACTTGGCCCTTCGGGCCAGGTGAGCTAAAAAAGGAAAAAAAAATCCCTCCCCCAAATTTTTTGAACCCCCTTTTGATTCATCACCCAAAACTCAATCCCAGCCTTCTCTTTGTGGTATGGTACCTTGCAGTACAATTTCAGAGAGATCCATACACTTGAACACAAGTTATTGTCCTGAAACTAGAAAAATGCTTGTTTTTAGGCCCCTTTTTGACCCCAAATTCCTAAACTTTTAGGGCAATTACCCCTCAACTCAAACCCAGCTTTCCCTTTGTGATATGGAACCTGGTAGTACAATTTCATAAAGATTTATACACTTACACACAAGTTATTGTCATGAAACTAGAAAAATGCTTGTTTTTTTCCCCTTTTTGGCCCCTAATTCCTAAAATTTTGAGACAATAACCCCAAAAATCAATCCCAGCCTTCCCTTTGTGGTATGGTACCTTGCAGTACAATTTCAGAGAGATCCATACACTTGAACACAAGTTATTGTCTGGAAACCAGAAAAATGCTTATTTTTGGTCCCTTTGTGGCCCCTTATTCCTAAACATTTTGGACAATTACCCCAAAACTCAATTCCAGCTTTCCCTTTGTGATATGGAACTTTGTAGTACAATGTCAGAAAGATCCATACACTTACACACAAGTTATTATCATGAAACTAGAAAAATGCTTGTTTTTTGCCCCTTTTTTGGCCCCTAATTCCTAAAATTTTGATGCAATTACCCCCAAAATCCATCCCAGCCTTCCCTCTGTGGTATGGTACCTTGCAGTACAATTTCAGAGAGATCCATAAACTTGAACACAAGTTATTGTCTGGAAACTAGAAAAATGCTTATTTTTGGCCCCTTATTCCTATTAACGTTTTGAGCAATTACCCCCAAACTCAATTCCAGCTTTCCCTTTGTGATATGGAACTTTGTAGTACAATGTCAGAAAGATCCATACACTTGCACACAAGTTATTATCATGAAACTAGAAAAATGCTAGTTTTTTGCCCCTTATTTGGCCCCTAATTCCTAAAATTTTAAGGCAATTACCCCCAAAATCAATCCCAGCATTCCCTTTGTGATATGGAACCTTGTGGTACAATGAGGGGCCTGATGGGTTATTTTCGTTCTTCGTGATCGGCGCATTTTCGCTATCGTGATCCGTGATCATGGAAATTTATTTTCTGTGAATCGTGATTGACAAAAAAATCAACTCATGAATCGTGATGAGACCCCCCCCCCCATCAGGCCCCTCTACAATGTCAGAGAGATCCATACACTAAAACACAAGTTATGTCTGGAAGTTACAAAAATGCTTATTTTTGGCCCCGAATTCCTTAACTGTTGGTACCATAACCTCCAAAATCAATCCCAACCTTCCTTCTGTGGTATTGAACCTTATGGTAAAATTTCATAGAGATCCATTCACTTAAACTAAAGTTAGAGTGCGAAAACCAATGTGTCTTTGGACACCGACGACGACGACGACGCCAACTTCATACCAATATACGACCGCAAAATTTTTTTGCAGTCGTATAAAAATTGCTGTTTCATCGACATGAAAAAAATTGCGTAATAATATTGTACAACGTGGTTTGGTCAGTCATTTTGTCAACATCGAGGTACCTCACGTAGTTTTTCCTTCTATTAGCAGACGGTTATGCCATAATGCAACGTAGTCTAAGTCGAATTGTTTATAATTTTCTGATTTCATTTTCTCGATATCAAAATATTTTCGATTGGACCATGTGTAATTAGTCATGTCATAAGTGTCAGCTTGGGGTATTTTAATCCAAACAGTTATCACCCAAAGGGCAATTAACACCTATTTAATTACTCTTAATTGCCTTTTTTGTCCGACTTGATGGGATTACAATTAAAGGTGATATAATCTTTATGGTCACAAGTGATAATTAGATGAAAGTTCAAAAATTAGGACATTGATTTTGCGGCAATATATAGAGACAAGAAAAAATAGCATCCTCAAATAATTATAGTGTCACGGGATAAATTATAGCATCGCGGTACCGCAACGCTAAAACGGCCTTGGGAGATCACTGGTCATACTTTTTTTTAAATTGGTTGGACGCCTTAGTTCAATATCCAGCATGTTAGATTGATGTGTCATATTGATTATTTTTATTTTTTATCTAAAAATTATGACACATATTTTTTGGGATAATAATGTAATGACGAGAGCTACTCTCACACCAGTACACCTTTACCTTAATCAAATTTAATTTCTGGTCTGAATCATAATTCATACATATGTACATATAGTTGCATTCTTTTAGCAGCAGTGACAGACATTACAGAACCAATTATTTTTCTACTCTTTACTATTAGATATTCTCAGTCAATTACCATGGAATGACAAACTGGATTCTTGCTGATGTTAACCTGTCGGCTGTGCTGCTCCTGATACCATTATAATGTAACTCATATTATATGTTTCCTCAACAAATGTACAATGCAATGTTATGTAAAATAACGTTTTTTCTGCAAACCTTTGTTCATCTTAGGTGATGCCAGAATAAAATGATATATTAAAGCAAAAAACGCTTCCTTACTTAATGCAAAGTATGACAGTTACTTCAATTCATTTGGTATAAATTTTCAAAAATAGCAATCAATAAAATCAATAGTAAGTTGATAAACACATTGTGCATCATATTCATGTTCATAGAAACATGTATCTAAGGATAAAGATATAAAATAAGAGATTACCAATTTGGTCATGCATGTCAGATTCAATTTTCACAGTGTTTAAGTTTATACAGAGGGATATCTTTAATAGTATATCATTAATGACTTTTCCTGTTAAATCATAGGTGTTATTAAATCCTTGAAAGTTATTTGATATTACATGTATAATGATGATATTAAAAATAAGTTTAAATCTTTATAGACAAAGTGGTATCTGTCTCTCTTGTAAGCTTCTTACAATCACAAAAAGGACTAGTACTGATGCAACATAAATGGAACTGTTATGTCTACATATCCAATCCCAAGTGGCCTTATGATCAATAGTAATATCAAATAAGAAAATAGAGACATTAAAAACAATTAATGTATTTCACTTTTGATAACTGTAAACCAACTTATTTTCGTGTATACTTTATTTCCAGTCAGGCCAACTATATGGTGATTTATTTTTCGCAATCTTCTAATTTTTGGGATATATCAATATAAGGGAAGACCAAAGTTTTACAAAGTTGCGACAATTCAAATACGTGTAATTTTTCTACTCGCCAAAATTAGTTGGTTTACATTAATCAACAGTGCCTTAATAATGGGGAGGCAGAAGAGTGAGGGTTACAAATTAAAAAAATTTTAAAACCTATAATCAATAGTCATACTTACAACCCACTGCAGAGCTTAATGCTCCTAATCCCATATATAGCAGGAAAAAAGTGATAACTATTGGTAAAATATCTGAAAAAAGAATATTTTTTTCTTTTTATTTCAAAGCACATAAGCTTTTGTCAATATAGAAAGGAACTTGGTATAAACACTACTGTTACACAAACAATTGTCTTACAGCAAATGTTGTTGAACTATGAGAAGACAAGTGCAAAGTTGTATAACTAATCAAATATTCTTGTTATAGTCCATTGTGAACTAGACAACCTGACCGAACTGATAAATAAGATGTTTTTATATAAAAAATTAAAAGCAATCTCTTTGTACAATACTGAAAGTGGCCAGTCTAACAAAACTGATTCTTTTTGTGGGAGAACGGCTATTATCTTTTTAAATTACAATGCCAGATAATAAATCATTAGCTGATAGGGAACTATATCTATTATAATGGAATAAGAAAGAGAAAGTTATTCTCTAAGTGAATATCTCCTTATTTTTATATTAACTTACAGAACTGATCAGCAGAATTTTCATGGTGCAGCAGTTCACCATCCTCTCCATTCATCATATGCAAACTGTACACTATCTTTAAACCTTTCTGTAAAACAATAAATTGTACACTATATTTAAATATTAATGTAAAACAATAAACAGTACACTATATTTAAATATTTCTGTAAACAATAAAGTAGTACATTAAATCAAATCTTTTGTAAAACAATAAGTCGTACACTAAATTTAAATCTTTCTGCAAAACAATAAACAGTACACCATATTTAAATATTTCTGTAAAACAATAAAGTAGTACATTATATCAAATTTTTTTTTAAAACAATAAGTCATACACTAAATTATATATATATATTATTTAAACCTTGCAATAAACTAACAAAAGAACAGAGCTCAAATGTCAAATGTGTTGCACATAACTTATCTGTCCAAAGGCAATAAACAAATATAACTTTTTACAATTAACTTTGAAATATAGTTGGTCAGGACTTCTTTTTCGAATTTGGCCAAGACATTACTGATATAAACCTTTGATATTCAATTCATAAATATCTGGAAAGAATTGTACACATGAGAGGGCTTACAATCCAATTTTCTATAGAATTTATATTTCAAAGGGGGCATAACTCTTTTTAATAAATTGCTTCAACGAGCGCAGCTGGATACGACCGCAGAGGTCCAACCCTGAACAGTTGGGGCAAAAATGGACACAATATTCGCGCTTGATACAGGTCTGAATTTGGATTGTAATTCAATATTTGACACATAATAGGTTTCTGACACAGAATAACTGTAGTCAAAGAACTTAGAATTGGTTATAAGATTTGAATTTATATTAAATTTTTTGCTTTTGTGCAATACACTATGCTGTTGTGAATTGACCTCACCCCCCCTTTTTTAAAAATAAAAAAAAATTGAAGGATTTTCTTTTTGATTTCTGAAATCTTGGTGAGAAAAAAATTGTCCCCCCCCCAATTTTTTTTTAACCTACCCCCACCTCTTTTTCCAAAAAAAAATTCTTTCCCTCAGTCATGGTCATAATTTCAATTCAAATTTCCAATGGAGTTTGCAACCATAATAACCCATTTAAATACATCATAAAAGTCTTAAAATAGAAAATGAAATACATAATCATAGCTAAAATTAATTTACCTTAATCAGCATTTTTAAAATTATTAAAATAGTAACTTCTAAAAATGAATTGACACCTAATCACCTCAAGACAATACAAAAATTCATTATACATAATTTAAAAGCAGTGTAAGGGAGGTAATTCAAAGTAGTTTTTGAATTACTTCCCTTACACTGTAATTTGTACTTCAGTAATTGTCCATTAACCAGGACACCCTTGTTTTTTCCCACTTTTTTGTGCCTAATCCTAAACGGTTTGAGCCATAACCCCCCAAAGCCAATCCTTACCATCCCTTTGTGGTATGGAAACTTGTGGTATAATTTCGGAGAGATCCATACACTGTTCCACAAGTTATTGTCATGAAACTAAAAATGCTTATTTTTGGCCCCTTTTTGGCCCCTTATTCCTAAACGTTTTGGGCAAATAAAAATCTGGCAAAATTTGTACTAGTGAGAGCCTTAACAAGACAGGAGGAATGCATGATATATTTATGTCCCCTGCAACGTGTTGCACAGGTGATAATTAACGGTCATTTCTCTGAACCATGAAAATGAGGTCAATCACTCATGCAGGATAAGCATCCCTATGTCAGGTATAATTCATCTTTTAAAAATGACTTAGGCACTGATTTTCCAACTTGTCTGCTACCTTGCTGATATAATCCATAAAAATCTGGCAAAATTTGTACTAGTGAGAGCCTTAACAAGACAGGACGAATGCATGATATATTTCTGTCCCCTGCAACGTGTTGCACAGGTGACAATTAACGGTCATTTCTCTGAATCATGAAAATGAAATCAATCACTTATGCAGGATAAGCATCCCTATGTCAGGTATAATTCATCTTTTACCACGACAGAGACAATAAAATGCTCCGCTGGGTGCAGCTTGATACGACCACAGAGGTCGAACCCTGAACAGTTTGGGGCAAGTATGGACACAACATTCAAGCTTGATACAGCTCTGAATTTGGATTTTGATTAAATATTTGACACAGCATAGGTTTCTGACACAGAATGAATGTGGTCTAAGAACTTAAACAAATTTAATTTACCTATTATGGTCCAATATCCAAAATCTAAATACATGTTTAGATTCAGCATATCAAAGAACCCCAAGAATTCAATTTTTGTTAAAATCAAACTAAGTTTAATTTTGGACCCTTTGGACCTCAATGTAGACCAATTTAAATAAAATGCTCCGCTGGGCGCAGCTTGATACGACCTCAGAGGTCCAACCCTGAACAGTTGGGGCAAGTATGGACACAACATTCAAGCTTGATACAGCACTGAATTTGGATTGTGATTAAATGTTTGACTCAGCATAGGTTTCTGACACAGAATGAATGTGGTCTAAGAACTTAAAAATTTTGAATTTACCTATTGAAACCATATCATTATTATTTGCTTTTATATATAAATCAGAAATAACCAATTAAAAATGGAAAATTTTAAAGAAAAAAAAGGAAATAAAGGATAAAAAAAATCCCCCCCCCCCAATTTTTTTAACCCCCTTATGATTCATCACCCCCAAACTCAATCCCAGCCTTCCCTTTGTGGCATGGTATCTTGCAGTACAATTTCAGAGAGATCCATACACTTGAACACAAGTTATTGTCTGGAAACTAGAAAAATGCTTGTTTTTTTACCCTTTTTGGCCCCTAATTATTAAAATTTTGAGGTAATTACCCCCAAAATCAATTCCAGCTTTCCCTTTGTGGTATGGTACCTTACAGTACAATTTCAGAGAGATCCTTACACTTGAACACAAGTTATTGTCTGGAAAATAGAAAAATGCTTATTTTTGGCCCCTTATTCCTAAACGTTTTGGGCAATTACCCCCAAACTCAATTCCAGCTTTCCCTTTGTGATATGGAACCTTGTAGTACAATTTCAGAAAGATCCATACACTTACACACAAGTTATTGTCATGAAACTAGAAAAATGCTTGTTTTTTGCCCCTTTTTTGGCCCCTAATTCCTAAAATTTTGAGGCAATTACCCCCAAAATCAATCCCAGCATTCCCTTTGTGATATGGAACCTTGTGGTACAATTTCATAAAGATCCATACACTTACACACAAGTTATTGTCATGAAACTAGAAAAATGCTTGTTTTGTTTTATGCCCCTTTTTAGCCCCTAATTCCTAAAATTTTAAGGCAATTACCCCCAAAATCAATCCCAGCCTTCCCTATGTGGTATGGTACCTTGCAGTACAATTTCAGAGAGATCCATACACTTGAACACAAGTTATTGTCTGGAAACTAGAAAAATGCTTATTTTTGGCCCCTTTTTGGCCCCTTATTCCTAAACGTTTTGGGCAATTACCCCCAAACTCAATTCCAGCTTTTCCTTTGTGATATGGAACCTTGTAGTACAATTTCAGAAAGATCCATACACCTACACACAAGTTATTGTCATGAAACTAGAAAAATGCTTGTTTTTTGCCCCTTTTTTGGCCCCTAATTCCTAAAATTTAGAGGCAATTACCCCCAAAATCAATCCCAGCATTCCCTTTGTGATATGGAACCTTGTGGTACAATGTCAGAGAGATCCATACACTAACACACAAGTTATGTCTGGAAGTTACAAAAATGCTTATTTTTGGCCCCTTTTTGGCTCCTTAAACCTTAACTGTTGGTACCATAACCCCCAAAATCAATCTCCACCTTCCTTTTGTGGTATTGAACCTTATGGTAAAATTTCATAGAGATCAATTTACTTAAACTAAAGTTAGAGTGCGAAAACCAATGTGTCTTTGGACGACGACGACGACGTCATACCAATATACGACCGCAAAATATAAAAATATGCATTCAACACCCATACTTAGCTTTTATTTGAATCCCTACATGTAAGTGGAATCTAACTGTATACAAGTTTGCAGATACATTGTTTCAACTCGTTGACTTGAGTTACTATGATTTGCTAAATTTATACATTCTTTAATTACTATATATATAAGTCCTTGAGAAGGTAGGACTATTATAATATATTATCCCCACTATATAATATATTATCCCCACAAGGCAACGAATATTAATAAACAGAATAGCTTTCCTCATTGAATTTCAATTGAAAGTTTTCTTAGCTATTTTGTTTTTTTGTTCTATAATTAAATCATTTCATCTCTTGTATAATAAAATAATTCAATTAACAAAACCACAGAAAAGTCATTTTAGTGCGGACAACTCGAATAATACACGACCTACCTGTGAATTACAGTTTCCTATAGCTATAAACCACCATTTTGCTCTTGAAGATGAGAATGTTACTTTCCGCACACAGCTCCAGTACATACCATCAGATTTATTAACAGGCGTACAGTTCCCAACACCAGAATTGTCTAGTGGTATAATCTGGTTGTCTACCCAACTCAATAAGGCCACTTGCTCACTACATGTCTGTGAAAGATGTCAAAACTATTAGTTTTCCAGACGTATAACTAATATACAGTAAATTCAGAAATATATGCAAGGTTTTTATTATTGTGAATAATGCGACTCATGCTTGGACTGGATAAGAACTCGCATTCTGATAATTGATAAAATATCTGTATGCAGATTTTACATAATTTGCAATAATTAATCTTGCATTTTTTGTCCTTTCTTAAAAAATCGCAATAATAAATGCACACAATAATTTCTGAATTAACAGTACATATGTTTACACATATTTAGATGCATTTTGCATTCAAATAAATAGACACACAATGAATCTTTGTTTTTGTTATTTATCTTATAAGAAACTGATTCACTTACCTGATTAATGAATTCTTTTTTCTCCTATGGTTTATGTTTATGCTTTAGATTGAGAAATAAATTTTGAAGATCATACAAATATCGTAGCCAAAAATATGTTTTTCTTAATTTATTTGTCATACCATGTGAAATCCTTTATGTTATACTGCAGCTGATATATGCTTGTAAGAGGGCATAATTTCATTATATCAGTTGGTGATTCGAGGTAAAATAGTCCTCAGAATTCTCATTAGAATGGTAAGGGTGAGGTTTAATACCACCCTCTATAAATTCATACAATCTTAGCTATAGACTATCAATTATATTGGTATAGGAATTAAGAATGCAAAGGATAAGCCACAAATATTCAGCAAGTAGATATCTAATGAAATGAAAGATCAAAAGGCAATTGTCATTATTTGCAGATGTCTTGACACACTTAACTATTGGTTGATGTAATATTTACAGCTGTCAACAACCTACCTACATTTATGTAGATCAATTGGTCAGGATGGCCAAAATAAACAATTTGAAATTATCATTAATATTCTACAAGAACTGTGAATTTATTATTATAAGTGATCATGAGGGTACTAATTTTTATTGATTTTGTGGGTATTGATGAATCAAGATTTCAAGTCTGCATCCAGATACAAATTTCCTATAGGATTGAATGCAGGTTTTCTCTTAAACTCAATATCAAGTACACAAGAAAATCAATTCTTCCTCATGGAAAACTGGTAGTGTGGGTACCGTACCCACAACATTTAATGAATCCACAGTACTAACAGTCTAATACATGTAGAGACTTACCTTTCCTGTCTTGTAAGCGTCATCCCATTTGTTATCAAAGTACAGCAATAGATCTTGTCTTGCATAACTCTGAATTAAATTTTAATTCCATATTAAAATTTTGAGACCAAAATAAAGTAAAAACAAATTATTGCAATTATAGAAGTTTTCTTCATATACATGTAAATTTATTTTTATAGGTTTCATTGTGAGTGTATTTAGAGGCTGATTTATGAAGCTAAATTTATGCTTAATTTATGCTTTTAACCTTTTCCACTCCAAACTTGACTAGTTTGGGGCTTCCAAGCCCCACTTTTTCAAAAGTGTGTTTTTATATATATATGGTCAACAGATTTAAATATTTGTGAAATTGATTTCGCATAGTTGAGAATTGATATAACATTTTGCTAATTATGGAGTAAATGATTTTGCATATATTGCAAAAATACAAAATATAAGAAACCTTATTTTTTACAGGCACCTAAAAACCTTTACTAGTATCTTTCTTTCGTGTGTCTATTATGCAATATGCATGATATATATACAAAATCGAAAATCTATATGAAAAAGGTGGAGAATTATCAAATTTTTTATTTTTTTTGACATTTTCGCTATATATGCAATCCATTGTATCACATTATGTTCAGTGTGATTAAAGAAATATCCCTTCATGCAGGAAATTGATTAACACACCATAACTTCCATGTAATGTATCATCATACATGTACAATCATTATCTCATCTTTTTCTATTTACACCAAAGGATTTTTTACAACTCTTGAGTTTAAAGTTACCCAACCTTTCCAAACAGGTGCTGCTTTTTTGTCTGTTAATACTTGCAGCATTATTTCTAATAGCTTTCTATAAATTAGCCCTTTACTTAAAATCAATCTTAAATAACAAGATCAACTAACAGAGACATAGGTCACAGAATTATACATTGTAATTTCATCTAGATTTTGACCACATTAAGACTCGATCAGGAAATAAAGAGCAAAGGGTTAGACAAACTAAATATTCAAGTCAGATACGTCACTTGTTATAACCAATACATGTATAATGTTAATAAAATGCTTCGCTGGGCGCAGCTTGATATGACCGCAGAGGTCGAACCCTGAACAGTTGGGGCAAGTATGGACACAACATTCAAGCTTGATACAGCTCTGAATTTGGATTGTGATTAAATATTTGACACAGCATAGGTTTCTGACACAGAGAGAAAGTGGTCTAAGAACTTCAATTTTTTTAATTTACCTATTATGGTCCAATGTCCAAAATCAAAATACATGGTTAGATTCAGCATATCAAAGAACCCCATATATTCAATTTTTGTTGAAATCAAACAAAGATTAATTTTGGATCCCAACTTGGACAAACTTGAAAACTGGTCCCATAATCAAAAATCTAAACACATGTTTAGATTCAGCAGATCAAAGTACCCCAAGAATTCAATTTTTGTTAAAATCAAACTAAGTTTAATTTTGGACCCTTTGGACCTTAATGTAGACCAATTTAAAAACGGGACCCAAAATTAAAAATCTAAAAACACGGTTAGATTTGGCATATTTTGCAAAGAACCCCAATAATTCAATTTTTGATGAAATCAAACAAAGTGTAATTTTGGACCCTTTTGACCTCAATATGAACCAATTTGATAGCGGGCCCACAAATAAAAAATCTAAATACATGGTAAGATACAGCATATCAAAGAACCCCATATATTCAATTTTTGTTGAAATCAAACAAAGTTTAATTTTGGACCCCAATTTGGACCAACTTGAAAACTGGGCCAAAAATCTAAAATCTAAATAATTGTTTAGACTCAGCATATCAAAGAACCCCATATATTCAATTTTTGTTGAAATCAAACAAAGTTTAATTTTGGACCCCAACTTGGACCAACTTGAAAACTGGGCCCATAATCAAAAATCTAAACACATGTTTAGATTCAGCATATCAAAGAACCCCAAAAATTTAATTTTTGTTAAAATCAAACTAAGTTTAATTTTGGACCCTTTGGACCTTAATGTAGACCAATTTAAAAAACGGGAACCAAAATTAAAAATCTAAATACATGGTTAGATTTGGCATATCAAAGAACCCTAATAATTAAATTTTTTATGAAACCAAACAAAGTTTAATTTTGGACCCTTTTGACCTCAATATGAACCAATTTGATAGCGGGCCCACAAATAAAAAATCTAAATACATGGTAAGATTCAGCATATCAAAGAACCCCATATATTCAATTTTTGTTGAAATCAAACAAAGTTTAATTTTGGACCCCAATTTGGACCAACTTGAAAACTGGGCCAAAAATCTAAAATCTAAATACATGTTTAGATTCAGCATATCAAAGAACCCCATATATTCAATTTTTGTTGAAATCAAACAAAGTTTAATTTTGGACCCCAACTTGGACCAACTTGAAAACTGGGCCCATAATCAAAAATCTAAACACATGTTTAGATTCAGCATATCAAATAACCCCAAGAATTCAATTTTTGTTAAAATCAAACTAAGTTTAATTTTAGACCCTTTGGACCTTAATGTAGACCAATTTAAAAAACGGGACCCAAAATTAAAAATCTAAATACACGGTTAGATTTGGCAAATCAAAGAACCCCAATAATTCAATTTTTGATGAAATCAAACAAAGTTTAATTTTGGACCCTTTTGACCTCAATATGAACCAATTTGATAGTGGGGTCCACAAATAAAAAATCTAAATACATGGTTAGATTCAGCATATCAAAGAACCCCATATATTCAATTTTTGTTGAAATCAAACAAAGTTTAATTTTGGACCCCAATTTGGACCAATTTGAAAACTGGACCCAAAATTAAAAATCTAAATACACGGTTAGATTCGGCATAACAAATAAATAAATGTGGTCAAAGATTTTACAAATCTAATGCGCCATACTGGTCTTCCTTTATAAATATGCATTTCTTTAAACATAATTTAAAAGCAGTGTAAGGGAAGTAACCAAAACGTTGTATTTGGATTACCTCCCTTACACTGTTTTAAATTATCTTAATTGTTCATAACCATTACTTTATACATAATTTAAAAGCAGTGTAAGGGAGATAATTTCAATGATGTATTTGATTTATCTCCCTTACACTGCTTTAAATTATGTTTTGTACTAAAGTATTTGTCCATTAATGAGGACAACCTTGTTTTTCCCCCTTTTTTGCCCCTAATTCTTAAACGGTTTGAGCAATAACCCCCCAAAGCAAATCCTAACCATCCCTTTTAGGTATGGAAACTTGTAGTATAATTTCAGAGAGATCCATACACCGTTCCACAGTTATTGTCTGGAAACTAGAAAATGCTTATTTTTGGCCCCTTTTTGGCCCCTAATTCCTTAACTGTTGGTACCATAACCCCCAAAATCAATCCCCACCTTCCTTTTGTGGTATTGAACCTTATGGTAAAATTTCATAGAGATCCATTCACTTTAACTAAAGTTAGAGTGCGAAAACTAATGCGTCTTCGGACGACGACGAAGCCAACGTCTTACCAATATACGACCACAAAAATTTTTTTGCGGTCGTATAAAAATGTCTTCTTTATGACTAATGTACTACATTTGTATGTTTCCAGCCCCCCAAAAAACAATGCAAATTGACCTGAACTTTTGTTGAAAACCAAAATTTGTAATTGAAACAATTTAAGGAAATTAATACTTACATGTAAATTTTCAAAAGACCAATTTGCTAACTAGTCATTATTTTAGCAATGAATCATTGTGATAATGGTCAATGAATCCTTATTTGAAATCTGGAATAGAATTAGGGGCCATAGTAGGGTCTTGTTCAACCTATTCCTTTATACATTGTACAATGCTTCAGTTGACATTAAAAAAAAGTCTGTTAAGCATGATGGAAACTGACCAATAATATGTTTTTTGGTTGAGAATATGAATTAAAATAAAATAGTTAGTATAACTATTTTTATCCATACAAAATGTTGTGATAGTTGATCGGTTATATGAATGAAGTCGTGCGCATTCCATTAACAAGTTGACGCTTATGGACACAATGGTAGATGTTGCTGAACTGTTCATGACATCATTGCCTAATATCTTCCAGTATCAGGTATATAGATATAAAAAAAAAATATGAGACAGTTAGGTAAAAGAGAAAAATACAAATGGAAGATAAACAAATTTACAATATATTACATGTACTCAACATGAATATTCCACTGTACAAGAGAGGCGAAGGATACCAAAGGGACATTCAAACTCATGTCGAAAATAAACTAATAAAGCCATGGCAAAAAAAGAAAAAGACAAACAAAAGTCCACAAAACACAACATAGAAAACCAAAGACTGAGCAACACGAACCCCACTAGTGTTACAAATTGCCCACAATTCTTATACATTTATATTTAATTGACTTTCTTCAGATTTTCATATGAAATTAAATCTTTCTTATAAAATATTCATGTTATACAACCACTGAGTTGATAAAATTCCAATATATCAATGACAATTTCAGTTCCTAGTAATTAACCTTGTAATAGATATTATAGGACCAATGGCTTCTGTATTCCACTAACTCACCTGTGGGTACTCAAAAAAATATTCAAGTGTGCCTTTCTTAGACAGAAAACAAAATCGTGTAAGGAACTCCCATTTCTGAAACAAACAAAAAAAGTAATTTAAAAAAGTTTACTGCAAATTATATATTCACTATAGAGTAAATGTGTATATATAGCAGATCTTTGTTTCTGTCAGATGATTTGGAGCTCGACATATTGTATAGACACCTATCTATGGTTGAAAACAGTAGCCTTCTTGATGACTTTGAGCTTTTTAAGTTAGGTTGCTGTCTGAATGACATATTTCCCACATCTCCTTTCATATTTACAAGGAAGAACAAAATGCATATGTAATACACTGTCTGACATTTTAAAAATATATTATTTTTTTTAGAAATGATGAAATAAACAGCAGAGTGTTGTATCACATACATCACTATAACAATAGATAAATATCTTTGATGGTTATTTTAAAGAGGTTATTATTACCTCTAGTCACTATCAACTTAAAGGTACACAATATGGGATGAAAAACTTCAGAGATTTAATATGTTCTAAATAACCATCATGAAATATAAAGTTGAACATTAAATTGTATATAATATGAATTTAAACATAAATATATTAAACTTGAGTGCAGTCACATTGAAATGTCTTGTCTGTTTTACATATCATGATTGACTTTATGTTGAAGTGCTTTAAGATGCATTTAATAACAAGCACCATATAAACTAAACTTATCAATAACAACAAAATTGTTTATGTAAAAGGGATCAACGTCAGATGAACTCCATCAGATGAACATGTGAATGTACGCCTTACAATCATTCCATACTACAAATATATTTACCCTATTGCTGAAAGTATTTAAGAAACGGACCTAACCAATAAAACTTTACACTGACTTATGAATAGTGAAAATGAGGTCAAGGTAAGATGAACCCTGTAAGGTGAATACATATGTACATGCATGTATGTACACCATTCAACAAATATATTTACAGTACCTTCAAATGTACTGCTTACATGTACATGGTGTATAGTATTTGAAAAACAGACTTAGAAATTACCATTCAACCATGGCAAAGAAGGGCACAGTAAGATAAACCCTGCCAGACAGACATGTGCACCTCATAATCATTCCATACATCATGTACACCAAACATAGTTAACATGTTCCTTATTGTATCCGAATAACAGGCTTAACCATAAAAACTTAACATTGATCAATGGACAATGAAAATGAAACCACAGTCAGATTAATACTGCCAGATGTACATGTACACCTTACAATCATCACATACGTCAAATATAGTTGATCTATTGCTTATAGTATCCCAGAAATGGACTAAACCACCAAAACCTAATATTGTAGACTAGAACATACAAAAAATGTTGTTCATGACTTAAATCTCTATTTGTTGATCTTGTATCAGTTTCTCTTGTTGTACTATCTACTACAGTTTTTGCCGAATTTTTTTTTTAGACTTTTAGGCCAAAGTTAAAAGAAATCAAAGTAAACCAAGTTTTCATGCACTAATATTGTGAAAGTATAAGTTTTTTTTTTTTAAAGTTCTTTAAACAGCACCCTATAATTGGTAATAAATCAATTCTTCTTAACACTGATATGAACTTTTTGTACAAAGGGTACATTTGTAAATAAGTAATTTATTTGTAGGTTAACATAATACCATATTACCATCTATTGTTTACTGAACAAATATCTTATAAGTTCACGATCATGATGATCATGTATGCTTTTTAAATACTAGGGAAAACATCATACATGAACCTATATAGCTATAACTACAAACTTTAAATCTTTACTACTATGATAAATACATGCAGCGTACTAATTTGAAAAATAAATTGTTAAAACATGTACATTAATTATGTATGTCATTTTATTATCATATTCAGTTTATCAGTCTTTTAGAATATACCTTATTGTACTTGTGGTAAAATATATTATGTTTATAACAGTAATATTTTCCTGTACTCAATAAAACTCAGGAATATTTATTATTCATAAATTTTTCAGAGCCCTTTCATCACACTTGCTGACCCACTGAAAGACTAAAAACATATAGTAAAAAAACAGAAAAAAAAACAAAAGCCAAAAGGGTTAACATGAAGTCATTTAAGACTATATAAAAATAAAATAAATGGAGAATCAGATGATGCCCCCTTTTGCAGATAACATTATAAAGGGACATAATTAAATAAAATGCTCCGCTGGGGCGCAGCTTGATACGACCGCAGAGGTCGAACCCTGAACAGTTGGGGCAAGTATGGACACAACATTCAAGCTTGATACAGCACTGAATTTGGATTGTAATTAAATATTTGACACAGCATGTGAGGTTTCTGACACAGAATGAAAGTGGTCTAAGAACTTAAAAATTTTCAATTTACCTATTCATACATGTGATGGACTTTGAAACTCAGATCAGGAGATTGGGAAATTTTGGTCAGGAGATTAGGACTCAGATCAGGAGGTTTTTAATCGACATTAATTTTGTTGTAAATGTAACCGTGTGCTGTAAAAATGGTCTTTTAAAGTGTGTTTTCTTCAACTTTCCATCCAATTTATTATGTTTATAGTACCCTTGTACTTATAAAGTTTCTCCATCTTTATATTCTACATGTTCAATCTAACATTGTTTTTTTCCAGTATGTTCTTTAAATTTTTTACTTCATATTCTATAAAACAATCATTGCAACCAGAACATTTGTTTAGCTATCTGCAAATATGTTTTTTTTGTTTTTTTTTTCTCTTGCAAATAGTTTTTATTTGCAAACTCAGAAAATCATTCTATCTGTAAAATTAGGGTCATAGTTATTATATAAATTTCAATTTAAGCCTTGAAAGGAAGTATAGAATCCTCAAATAATTTTCAAATTATTATTTTTTTATTTGTCCTAAGACATTTAAAATCATTTAATAACCATCCTTTTATGATTATTTGTTCAATTTATATTTTATTTATATTCTTTTAAAAATTTTCATTATTAAAAGGAAAGTAACTTAAAACAGGATAAATCAAGGGAAGTAACCCAATAAATACACAGTTTTTGTTACACAACGGCAGTTAGCCTGAGGTAAAAATCGTTGATTACCAGTATGTTTGACACCCAAGCTGACAAGTGAAGCCATATAATTATGCATGTTAATTGATTTACCGGTAAAATATAACTTCAGGTAATGTCAGTTACACCAGATGCCTGAGATGATATGTTGGGCAGAAATTTTTCATTCATGAAAAATTTCAACACGGGATTTTTTCCTCTTCAACGGGAGGTCGGGAGGAGACCCCTGAAAACGGGATTATTGTACTCCCGTCGGGAGGTTCACATGTATGCCTATTCAAACCATATCATTATTATTTGCTTTTATATATAAATCAGAAATAACCAATTTAAAATGGAAAATGTTAAAGAAAAAAAAGGAAAAAAAAAATCCCCCCCCCCAATTTTTTGAACCCCCTTATGATTCATCACCCCCAAACTCAATCCCAGCTTTCCCTTTGTGGTATGGTACCTTGCAGTACAATTTCAGAGAAATTCATACACTTGAACACAAGTTATTGTCTGGAAACTAGAAAAATGCTTGTTTTTTGGCCCCTTTTTGGCCCCAAATTCCTAAACGTTTAGGGCAATTACCCCCAAACTCAATTCCAGCTTTCCCTTTGTGATATGGAACCTTGCAGTACAATTTCATAAAGATCCATACACTTGAACACAAGTTATTGTCATGAAACTAGAAAAATGCTTGTTTTTTGCCCCATTTTGGCCCCTAATTCCTAAAATTTGGAGGAAATTACCCCAAAAATCAATCCCAGTATTCCCTTTGTGATATGGAACCTTGTAGTACAATTTCATAAAGATCCATACAATTACAAACAAGTTATTGTCATGAAACTAGAAAAATGCTTGTTTTTTGCCCCTTTTTGGCCCCTAATTCCTAAAATTTGGAGGCAATTACCCCCAAAATCAATCCCAGCATTCCCTTTGTGATATGGAACCTTGTGGTACAATGTCAGAGAGATCCATACACTTACACACAAGTTATGTCTGGAAGTTACAAAAATGCTTATTTTTGGCCCCTTTTGGCCCCTAATTCCTTAACTGTTAGTACCATAACCCCCAAAATCAATCCCCACCTTCCTTTTGTGGTATTGAACCTTATGGTAAAATTTCATTGAGATCCATTCACTTAAACTAAAGTTAGAGTGCGAAAACTAATGTGTATTCGGACGACGACGACGACGACGACGACGCCAACGTCATACCAATATACGACCACAAAAATTTTTTTGCGGTCGTATAAAAACTGTAAAAGTGACCCCACCCAAATACGAACTTGATATGTGTTTTATGATGATAAACATTGTGTATTAGTTTCATAACATTTGGTTGAGGCAAACTAAAGTTAAAGAACAGAGACCAATTTCGGACTATGTACGGCAAACAGACCACGTACGTACAGACATGGGTAACACTTAAGGTGTAATACCACCATTGATTTTCCCCTATTAGTCTTTGTTAAATTTGCACTTTTCAAAAAATTGTGCAGAATTTATCTTTGTTTCAAATAAAGAAATACTTGGCATGAGTAAAGTTTTATCCTGTCCAGTACTATAGAAAAAATTTCACATAACATTTCATTGCATATAAGAAAATAACCATCACTGGAAGTTAACCAATCAAATTTTCCCCCTTTTTTAACCTGTGTACAAGCTTTAGTAACCATGTAACCTCAAGTTTCCAAAATATTCTATAGAAACCCCAAATAAAGAAATAATGGTGCTTTGAAATACCCAAGATATATGTTTATGACTCAGAAATGTTTTACTGCAATGAAATGTAGGATCAATTACCTACAACTGTCAAATTCAAGGGAATATTTTTTTTCTACCTATTTTCGTATGCAACCGGATGTGACGTACTATGATTTGGTGGTATTACACCTAAAGAAGACTTTTTTGTTAAATAAACTGAATGTGACTTTTTTCCTTTGTAATACTGGTTATTTCAAGCATTCCTGTCAAGTTTTGTCATAATCAGTTCAATATTTTGAGAAAAATCTAGTATAAT